TTCTTCCTTGGTAATGGGCTTCCCTTGGCTGTCTTTTATAGGTTTCGCTTGTGTTGGTCTCTTCCCGGATAGAGATTTGGTTATCTGATATAGTGTCCTCAGGTCCCTTTTGCCTGCTGCCTTTTCAGCTTCAGTAGCTAGATTGTCGTAGAATCGTCTTTTGTCCTTCCTAGCACTTCTCTTCACTTCTTTGTCCAATGCTTTGTAAGTTGAGCTCAGCGTCTCCTTCTCCTGTCCGTCCTTGCATTGAATCATTTTCTCTTTCACCATTCTCCTCTCTTCTATTAATTTCCAAGTGTCCGTTGAGAGCCATTCCTTGTCTTGTCTCTTCTTTCTTCCTAGAACCGTTGAACACGTTTCGTTGAGAATCGCCTTCAGAGACTTCCAATGTTCTTCCACGCATGATTCTTCAGTGATGTCGCGTAGTGTTTCCTGCTTTGCTCTGACAGTTGCAGTGAAAGTGTCTTTTGTGGTTGTGTCCTTCAGTAATTGAGTGTTGAACTTGCATTGTGGCCTATCCCCAGCTATCCTCGAGGCTTTTAGTTTCACCTTGAAAGTCCCTTCTACTAGATAGTGGTCTGAACCCACATCTGCTCCTCTCCTTGACCTTGTGTCCAGTAGGCTCCGTCTCCACTTTCTTGAAATTGAGATGAAGTCTATTTGGTTTTTGGTGTTTCCATCTGGTGAAATCCATGTCGTCTTGTGTATATCCTTGTGTTTGAACACACTACCGCCAATCACCAAATCATTGAAGGCGCAGAAGTCTGAGAAGAGTTCACCATTGTCGTTCATTTCACCGAGGGCCTCACGACCCATGGTGAGTTCTCTTCCTGTGTTGTCTCGTCCCAGCTTCGCATTCATGTCGCCCATCAGGATTTTGATATCGCCATTTGGGACGTTGTCCATTATTGCTTGTAGTTGTCTGTAGAACGCCTCCTTCTTCTCTTGTTCTGAGACGTTTGTAGGCGCATAGCATTGAATGACTGTAACTTTCCTTCCTTTTGAGTTGAACCTGGCTGTCATTATCCTGGAGGAGATTGGTTCCCACTGCATGAGAGCTTTGGCTGCTGTTGGTGACATCATGATGGCCACTCCCTCGGTGTGCTCATGGTTGTCCTCTAGGTGGCCGGAATAGATTACTGTCTCTCCAGTAGGTAGTTGGCACCTTCCAGTTCCGTTCCATCTGCTCTCGCAGATTCCCAACACTTCTATTCTGTACCTTCTCATTTCAGCGGCTATCTGGGCAGCCTTTCCAGTTTCGTACATTGTGCGAACATTCCAGGTACCCATCCTTACTTTTGCTTTCATCGAAAGAAGGCACATCGGCTGACTGGCTTCCCGAAGGCTTTCACCAGCCTGCGTCATTTCACTTCCCCGATTCCAGCGAAAAGTAAGGCTATTGCTTATGTTTTTAGAATTTTTAATATATTTATTCGTTGAAGTTTCTGTAGCGATTTGGTTGTTTTACAGGGGTGGAGTTGCTAGCACCACGCCCCAACCCTCCCTCTTTACCCGGGCTTGGGACCGGCGAGAAAACTAGTAAGCTAGTAGCCTAGCAAGCTAGTATCTGGCGAAAATAATTTTTCCTTCACTTTCCCCTGTGGAACATAGGGCTTCAAGCTAGTGGGTTGAAGTTTCTGTAGCAGTGTTTATTTTACAGGATGAGGTTGCTAGCCTCATGCCCAACCTTTCCTCTTTACCAGGATTATTTCTGGTCTAGCGAGGTAAAGGAGTGCGCCGGCTGGGAATCGATCCCCGGACCATGTGCATGGTCGGCGAGCGTGCTAACCGCTATGCCACCGACGCACGTCTCTCCTCTTACCTCTTTATTAATTTCATATATATTCCTATGACAAGTTCGTGTGTGATCAGATTGTTCTAAATGTGTTGCGCAAATACATTACACGATTCAGACATCTTCTTATTGCTCAAATATTCGTTATCTCTGAAGTATGAATGCCTACTTATTGGTAAGTGATCCAAGTTTTTCACTGAACATCTAAATCAACGGTTTCGCAGATGTGTTTTTTATTGTACAAATAAAACTGATCATTTTTGATTGTTGTACAAGTTTTGCCACGTAATGACATGGCTCTCAATATAAGTATCATTAACATATTATATCGGTGGCACAGTAGTTAGGACTCTCGCCGACCATGCACATGGTCTGGGGTTCGATACCCTGTCGACGCACACCCGATATCTATGGTCGGCCTGCAAAATTTGAACTACCGATATCATATGCTGAAAATTCCGTAACTGTAGAAAAAATACGGTGCGGCGTCAAGCTGTAATAGAAAATAAAAAATAGTAGATTTTTAACAGGCTATGTGAAGATAACGAAATTAGTCAGTGTGATATCACAAACTACTAAAACTAAAAGTGAGGCAGTATTGTGCATAGTTATACTAGTAAAACTGAACTATTTTCAAACATTAGGAGCTTTGAGTAAAATATCAGTTCACAATTACTTTTATTTTGTCTACTTCCACAGTTACAACATCCTTTTAGTCTGTACAGTTCATTGTGACTGTCAAACATATGTGGTGTGAAACACAAATTTACAGAGTCTTCATGGAACCATAAAGCCAACAAAAGAATAGACAGCATTAAATATGGAGTAGGAAGAAATCTAATGCTACCTGAAGAGGAAGTCCTGAACGGCTTCTCTCGATGATGGGAGTTTCATTACTCAAGCATTTTTCTAAATGCTTCGCTTAAGAAATCTACTGAATTGTATACGTTTTCTGTTAACAATGGTTTTGCTCACAGTACCGGTGAATTCATAAATTAAAAATTTCTGTTTCAGTAAATCTGTAACAGTTTGATAACACTTTTAATATGAACACACAAGTTAGCAAAGAAATCTATTTTCTTAACGCCTCCGCAAATATGTACAAAAAATAAAGTGATCGTATTTACAATGTTAATCAACATTAAAAGGTCAGAGATTACTATAAGTTAATAACAAATAAACAAAAGTGTATGAGAAGTGAAATCTTGTGAAAATACTGAATAATATTAAATTATCAACATAGTTTACAACTTATTAGTTTAATGATGAATAATCATTTAGAGACAATTGATAGGAAAGAAGAGAACAGAGAAATGCAAATTGCTTACAGAAAATAAAAGGAATATAGAGAGTTTATTATGCAACAATTCAGGAGGATTAGATTGACACCAAGGCCTTGGAAGAATGAAGTCAACGTGCTTCAGCTGGTTGTTGTTAGTAGTGGAATGTTGTCGTTGATGTATCGGTGAACAAATGCATATGCGGAGAAGGGGAGGTGTTGAAATGCAGTAAACATCGTTTCTTCAAATAGTTCTCAACACACAGCTTCGGAGAACCTCATGAATTGTATCTCTTGAATCCAGGTTATTTTGGAGTGGAGGATACAAGCTGGTATTTTGCTTGAGGTGAACAGGAGAACATTGTCTGCGCCAGTTTTCGCAAAGTTTTGTGAGATCTTTCTTATTTACAGTCTATTCCATTTCAGTTGCCACTGTATTTTAAAATCGTTTTTATCTTTTGTAGCACTCTTCTCTGCCCCTTTGTTCGCTGAGTTTTAGATTGAACTCATATTCTTTTTCCATTGATCTTCTTTGCACTGTTTCATTTTCTGCTTCACCACTTATCTCTCCCCTGTTGGTTTCGCTATGTCTGTAGAGAGCAGTTCCTTACTCTAACTCATCTTCTTGGTTGATGTATCTTTTGAGGTATTCTCCCAAATCATTTTCAGAGGAGGCTCCTTACGCTGGATAATGATCGAAGCCCACAACTGTCCCTCTTCTCGATGTCCTATGCAACAGACTATGACTCGACCTTCTTGAGACTAAAATGAATTCTATCTGACTTTTGCTGTGAGCATCTGGTGAAGCAAACGCCGTGTCTTTGTGCCACCTCTATTCTCCAAATCCCTAAATGCTCAGGAGTCTGAGAAGTATTCTTCATTCTTGTTTGTTGTAGTGAATTGTTGCTGACTTATTGGCTGTCATTTGACTTGATTACAATGAGCCTGCTTTTATAACACTATAGCCAGCTGTTCACTTGGAAATATTCCCCCAAACTGAGGTAGAAATAGAAGTCAAATTAAACTGCGATAACTACGATATCAACCTTTATTTTACTAAATACAGGATGTATATCGTTTACATACCCGCAGAAATTTAAACCTGAAACAGGCAATCAATATCTTATTGATTGGCTGCATCAGTCATGACTTCACGGCTAAAAACGATGTGTTGTGCGTCCTAGCGTCATATGTTCCGCTGGCTGGCCCTCCATAAAGAGTTCTTTTTCGTGTCGTCTGCTCTCAGTCCAGCATCCATGTCACCCACTGGCATTCCAATATTCCCATCTAAATAGAGTCTCGTCCGTCAATGTTTGTAGCCGTCTGTAGAGCGTGTCACGGCCAAGAATATCAAGATCACACAAGATCACATGGGGAAATCGAGAGAGATGTTCATTACTGGAAATCCTGTGTGGAAATCCACACCATTCAACACAGTGAAGCAGATTTGAATCCCCAACAGTTATGTCAACATTTGGACCCTTCACTTGATAATAAAAGTCAGATGGCAAGGCAGAAAACATAAACAATAGAGAGGTCTGAAAACTAAACTGAAATGGGTTGCATTTACTTTCATTTGCGTTGTATTTTTTGATTGGTAATCCACTGTACATATCATAAGCGAGTGACTATCAACTTTATCCCCTAATAACATCCATGAAACCTGCTTCTTTGCAAATGAGTTTAGGTATTGCTGTTATCTACCCAAAGTATTCATTTCCTGTAGAAACAGCTCATCGATAAATCCCGTTATGTTATCATATGTTAGTAAACTTTCAAATTTTCAATTTGACAAAACTTATTTTAATATTTTTATTGTTTATTATAATATTCTTTTAGAACAAGTGAAACTTTTCGCTTATTGTCACGAAATGACTTTAATACATCCTGTCCATTGTCTTGTTTCTCATATTTTGTGTAAATTAGGCACAACAAAAGGAGTTACTCAGGGTAATACAGACATTACTCATAAGAGTTCAATAACCTCATCAACTGGACGAATCGAAACATCAGTAACAACAACAATGACGTCATACAAGCAGGTGTCTACTGATAGTAAGACTGGTTCACAACCGGTTTCAACACAAGCATTACTAACGTCTATGAAGATAAATACAGTATCAGATGTTGCTTCGTCCACCCTGTCAATCACGATAACGTCAACAGAAGCGACTGAAGCAACTACTGTCACACCAAAACTAAATACTTCCGCAGTCTTTGTTGGCAGAGGTTAGTACACTTGATGAAACTTTTGATTTCATACTAATACCTTGTACAACTTTGTAATTCGATCAAAATAATATAATTAATAACTGTAAACTATCCAATGATATCTAAACTTAACGGATTGTGACACAAAGCTTCACTGTATCAAGTCATAGCGCGCCTACTATGTATGTATGCGGTCATTAAATCAATATCATCTTTTCGATTCAAATCTAAGCTAATCCTTTTCCGGGTAATTTACTTTTATCCTAGAAATACTTAGCTGTTTCACATGAATCATAATTTTGAACTGGGACGTAACCTAGTGAAGCAGTGTTTGTGTTTGAACATCTATTTATAACGTGATTTGAGGCTCTCACCCAATAAGACATAAGCCGTGCTTAAGTATAAAGAATATATAGCCCAATAATAGTGCAGATTTTGAGTTTTACGGTGATTTTAATTGGTCAGAATATAGATTTCGCCACTAAAGAGCTATTTAGTCCCAGCTTGAGTCTCGTCGCTAGTGTGCACTTATGACATTAGTGGCAGTCAAACCCGTCACCTTCTGGATAAGTTGTCAACCCCTTTTACTATTCACTAGTTGATAATAAACCTATATGATGAAATGACAAAGCGAACTTCAATCCAGTGAAGGAATGGCCAACAAGCTGAATCTGTAGCGTGAAGAGCCTAGGGTCAATGCATACTGGCTTCATTTGTGCACATTGTTGCTAGGTCCCAAACTAAAATGAATCAGTTGTCCAGTACTCTTAGGTTCTCAATGGATTTCCAGTTGACACAACTTTGGGATGTGTTTTCAAATACCCCAAACTCTACTTCTCTATGGTGTTTATCCACTATGTACGGAAATGCTAAGTCGCAATAGCACTAAAACTAATTCTCTAATAACATTTAAAAGTATACTTCGTCACAAACCAACTTCAGTTACTGATGTTTTTAAACCAGAGGGCAGTGGATGGCTCTTTCGTCCCAATTTGAGAATCTTCAGCACCAAACCTCCACCAGGGTAGGAATTAAATTATCAGTGATTTCCAACCTTGTCATTCCTGATCTGATGCAACTATCAACTAGTGCTTTTGATTGGTATCCACTTCAACTTACCGTAGTGGACCTAACTGATCACGACTTCTCAATTCAACTTCAAGACATCCATCCATTGGCATTCATTAAGCTGGACATTGATACTTGGACTATAGGTTTAGGATTAATTTTAATGCAGATTTTGTCACAAATCAACATAGAATAGAGATAAGTGAAAATTAGGAAGCACTTGAGAGCTGTTTAGTCATGACTGATCATTCAATTCCATATTTCTGTGCATGTATGTGTAGCGAATGTAGAACCTATAGATGAGATACTAGCATAGTAAAATTTTCTTTTTATTCAGTCTAACTGTATTAAATCATTGTGGGTAAAATTTATTGCTCATAGTCATATCAAGGCTTCTCATACACAACAACTCGTATCAATATAATAAATCATCTGACGATGAGAAGAGTTCTACCAAGGAATATGTTCAGTTCTATTAGAAAAATAAATGCATAAATTAGTGCTAACTGACTTATTATCACAAAGATATATATATATATATATGTATATATATATACTAAATGGCGACTTCAGTTCGTTCCACAAAATTAGTTACAGGTTAGATTAAGCAATTAATCTTGCCTCTATGCGACTGCAACATTTCTGACTTAAATCTATTTAAAACCAGCTTGTTTTATTTCTTTACGCCCTAAGTGTAACATAGGTCTTCAAGCCTTAGCTCTATAGTTCCAGTATGAATGTTGTTTATACTGGGTGAGTGTCCTACCCTCATGCCAAACATTCCCTCTTTACAGAACTTGCTACCGGCTTCGCAAACTTTAGGAGTAGGCTAGCTGGGGATAAAACCCTGGAACACGTGAGGTGCAGTTGGCGAGCATAATAACTCTGAGCCCCTGCCGCATTTTTAATCAGAGTTTTTAGATTTAACGAGATATTCTTATCAGTACTGAAGATGTGAAATACTAAATGATGTTCATGTGGTTATCAGCAGTTGTATATTTGGTTAGTACGATTTCCATCAAACTTCGTACACTTTAGCCGTATTGAACTGTGCATCGGTGGCACAGTCGTTGGGACTTTCGCCGACCATGGACATGATTCGAGGTTCGATCTCCTGCCGACGCACACCTGATATCTATGGTCGGCCTGCAAAATTTGGGCTACCGATATCCATGCTGAAAATTCCATAATTGTGCCAAAAATATAGTGTGGAATCTAGCTGTAATCAAAAATTAAAAATTAATTAAATATCGTAAAGATTTGACAAGTTGTTGAATGAACTGTAAAACTGTATCTGTACATTAGTATATAATGATAAGTCGTATAACATAACGAAACGAATTCTAAATATCTTTAACGAGGATGACTGCGCATACAGCTAACGCTTTCTAAACGCTCAATTTTTTCGTCTTTTTTAGTTTCAACAGTTTTTGAAGTTAAAGCAATCATGTATAGTTTCGTAACGCAGAGCTATCTTTCATGGTCTGACAACTACATTGATACAAAGTCAAGTGCTTATAGTGAATTATCTAGAAGCTACTGTGGTCTGGTATGTTATCAGTATATGATTGTTTGTTTTTCGCAGTATACATTGTGATGCATTTATCCTTACATTAGAATAACCATCAACTTTATTCACAAATAATGTCTTGTTACAAGCTGACAGAAGATACTGATTATCACTATATGAGTTATTTACTTTATCCCTGATAATTTTTCTTAGAGTAAATCATTCTGTTTCATCTACACTTTAGCTGAATATATGAATAATTTGATATTGCATTTTGTGACATCTTTTTGATAAAATATCAGCTAAAGCATATAAGCGACATAGAATCAACATCTTGTTTACATATTAGCCAACGGGTAAACAGTATCTCCTACTGTTTGGCACACTAACTGTCTACAAAGTTTTCTAACCCAGAACATTATTCACCAGGAGTTCAGTAATAATGTCAGCACCTTACTCACCTAACTGTAAGAACTGAATCTGAGTTCGATTTTATGTAAGAATGCAATCCACTACTAGGATGTACTATTTTACATCTAAAAAAATTCGAATTACACGGGATGTGGGTGGTGAATTGTACTACTAACCTCTACCAAGCATTTAATCTGAAAATCGTGTTTCTTACTTCATATAAGTCAGTTTTAACTGCTATCTCCAAAATCCAAGTGTTTGATTAAAGGAATTGTACTACACATTCTATGCATATTATTATGGGGCAACTCGTGAATACTGAAGTGTTGTTGCTGCCTTTCAAATTAGCCCATTTGTTTCTTAGAATACCGCAATATGAAATGGTAGATATATCCTTGCGTGATGTCTCCATAGTTTCTGTTTGGTTGGTGAACATTACTAATATATGCGAACACTTTTGAATTCCATGGAAAGTCTCGGAAGGATTTTTCTCTTTACTGAATGATTTCCAAACAACTAATCTGATGTATGGAAAATTATTGACTCTGGTGGAAACTATGTCAAACAATTCGCGTCTTTCAGCTGATGCAACAATTTATTGATGACGGGTTAATCATTCATGCGAGAATAGAAACTGGACACTGTGGTAGAGTATAACTTCATTATGGAGAAAATTCATTCTCATAGAGCCACACAGTGTTATACAGTAATATTTAATTGAAAGCGTTTCGCGCACAATGTATTGCTCATAATCATATCAAGTTACTGACACAACTTTCCAACTTCATTTATATAATTCCATTATTTTTCGCCAGTTGATCTGATCGATAGTAGTATTTTCCATATATTTGGTATCGACGATGATTCATTTCAGGTACAAGTGCTGAGTGTAGATTATATGATCAAATATTCAGTAATCAACCTCTCCCTCCACCTAAATATATTGCTTTTAGGAATCTTAACTGTATCTTACCCCATTGTTTGTGGTTATATGTTAATGTATGCAGTGCTATTGTTGAACCTTTTTAAATAACTTACCTAAAGGCTCATTAAGCACACACAGCTTGTCCCTGAGTGAGTTTTTAGGTTTGAATGCCACTCTAATTACCGCTTTACTAAGTATCCTACGCTGGGTCTCAGATGTCCTCTCCTTATATGGTAAAGCTGTAGTTGCCTTATATTTTTTCTTATTCATATTATCATTATTAGTTTAACCATCATTTTTATTTTGCTTTTTACCTTTTTTGATCTTCTTAATGAGTTTTATAGAGTATTTATTTGACATCAAAGCCTCTTCCATATGTTTCATTTCATCTTTTAGGCTTGTTGTTGTACTGCGTGGTACCATTGCTCTGTTCGCTAGACACATATATAAGCCTGCGCTTACAGGTAACGGATGAGGTGAATTAAAGTCTAAATATCTGTTAGCAGAATGCGTTGGCTTTTTATAAACGCTAGTGTACAGTTAACCTTCTTCTGTTCGTTTTATTTTACAATCTTGCATAACTAATTCTCCTTGTTCATTTTATGATTCCAATGTGAATTTCATTCTCTTTACTAGTGAGTTTATATATTTGCAGAAACTGGAGATAATTTTTGTTCTTAACATTAAAACGTGTCATCCACCGTATCTTTGGAATAGGATTAAATGTATTCAGAGCTATATTTTCTCAGTTGTCCTTGAGGATACCTGCTAAGATCATTCAGTCTGAAATTTTTACTCCTAAAACAGTTGGATGGCTGACCGACTGCATTACACAATTCAATAACAAGTTTTAAAGAAAAACTACAACTGCTATACGACATTCAACCACTATTTGAAGCGTAAGAAAATAAATATATTTCTACTTACTTAGCAGTTAGAAAACTGGATGGCAGTCAATTTGTTTAAAGTTTTCCTTTTACGTATTTTAGATTTTAGATAGCCTTATTGCTGGAAATTCACGAATTTTCCAAGGCTCAACATGCACCTCAGTTATATTCAAACGTTTCTCTGTAAATCTCCGGTCAAAGAGACAAGTTGACAGTGTAGTATCAGATGGAGTACAAGCGAGTGGATCCATTGAATCAAAAACTTTGTCTGCTTCACAGCTGGACCAATCACAATTTTCAGAAGTACTAATCACTGGTTACAAACAACTTAATTTATCAAGTGGTTATATTCTGAATGGTATTGAATCAACACGTAAGTAGTAGACATCTTCTAAAGGTTAAACATTTATTCACTAGATGAGAAGTCAGTAGAATGATAGACGTACCTAGCCACACAAATCAACATCAGGTAAAAAGCCACCGCAAACCTGATAGTGTTGAAATGATCTTTTATTTAGATTATGGATGTCTAACTGATGGGTATCTATGATCCTGTTAACAGTTAATATCATATATGAAGTGATGATAAGTCGATATAAACAGGTCAAAAATGGGGTAGCTAACAATAAAAAATTGCACTGTAATTGAAGGATAGAAAAAATTAAACAACCTGGTTACACAATGTGCAGCTTGTATGATAAAATAAGGAGGATGAACTAGTGACTAAATTATTCGAAACAATTGCATAAGAACAATTGAAAGTGAAGTAGGAAAGTTAGTACGATAGTAAGGATATTATCAACTTGTAATTAACGTAAGTGGGGGTGAAAGGATCGGTTTTTGTATCTACGTGAAGACATCTTAAGCGAAGGAAGAGGCTGTATAAATTCAGATGTATTCTGATAGTTTCGGATGTATTTAAAAGAGTGATTACGATAAATAACTCTGATGGTTTTATTAGCACCAGTTTTGTGCTCTGCAGTAACAAGACGAGCCAGACGTAAAGTCTCAAATCGAACCCCAAAGTCTTCTGTCTAGCTATGCAGGATGATATCCAGGCATCTGAGGATGAAGATGTCTGACTGCAAATCCGATGTAGCTGCTTACATAGAGGTAATCAAATAAGTCGATACAAATGGAAGAGTTGTAATTAGGTTATTTGTCCTCGTTTCCCAAGTATAATATTGGGTTAGTTAGTGTTAGACAACATAACGCGTTTATGACGTCAAAAAGTTGTTAAAATCTCACTAAAAGTCCCCATGAAATAGTACTTTTAAGAAAAGAAGTCTCTTTACAGCTGATGATACACATTCCAACATAAAGTAAATCTATCTGATAAAGTCTCACAGTGTTATACAGTATTATTTATTGATGACGTTTCGAACGCAATTTATTGATACTCACAATCATATCAGAAGATACTCACACGACTTGAAGACTTCGTCTAAACACATAAAAAACTGATTAGACATATGACCGAATAAATAAGAGCCAATATAAAGTTCAACAGATATGCGTGAATCAGATCATAGGAAGATTAGGTACATTTTGAAATAATTTGAGTGTTGTCAGTAAAATAAAATAAGTTAGTAAATATGATGAAAGCTGTTAGTCAGTAACAGAAGTGTTGTTAGTCAAACAGTTATTTGAATAGTAACATCCTTAGACAGTAAACTTAGACTGAAAAGAACAGGAAGTTCAGCAAAGATATCTATTCAGCGATTTCATTCTTAAAAGCTGTACAATCGCATTTATATAGATTAGTTTACATGGGTACAATTCTTATGTGTTTAATTCCACATAGTGACAAAGGTGATAATAATTTTCAACTTGATATGAAAGTTTGAAGGTAAGAATACACCTATCAGCCGTAAAAGAGCTCTCATCATCTCGCTAGCCCACCGTACCAGAAGAATTTGTAGCGATGACGGTTTAGAAGAATAGCTCCTATTTCTCAAAAGCATCCCGCTTCAAAATGGATACCCATCGCGTTTCATGGAGAAGAACATGAAACCAAGACCAAAAAGAGAAGAATACGCCTCAGTTCAAAAGAGGACACTCTATTTCAATTTGGAATTCAGGGGAGATCTAGCAGCAGATATCCTTAAAAGAAGAATCTCCAATTCCCTGAAGAAGAGTTTTCCGGCAGCAATTCTGAGTGATATTCTCTAGCCGCCCACTAACTTCGGAGAAACGGGAAGGACGAACTTCCGCATATGACCACTTCAATGTGCATTTATCAGTTGACCTGCCCCTGCGGAGCTAGGTACATAGGTTGTTCTGTGCGAGTCTTATCAAAACGTGGTAGAGAACATCATCCACCATGGCTGCAAAGAAGAGGCACTGGTTCAATCAGGAGCGCAATAACTGAACATCTCGTCAGTACCTGTTACAGAATCTCAACCGACTCATCATTTAGAGTCATTTAAAAAGTAAACAAAAATCTACCAAAGGCAGTGTGTTCCCGACTTCTTTGTACTGCGGAAGCTCTCGCCTTATGCATTGAAAAGCCGGAGTGGTGTGTTCAAAAGAAACTAGTCCAGCCTTTACAACTACCATGGACCTAGTTCGGTATGTTCCCTTCAGCTTGAGTTTGTTTTGTTATCTGTGTGTGTAATTTTTTCTCTCTTTGCCTTCATTCAGTTCATCCTATTTTTCAGTTGTAAAATCAGTTATTTTAGGTTTGTTTCCATGCTACACCTCATCACACTTGTAATCCCTTTAGAATAACTATTTTACAATTGTATTCTAATCCTGAGTAATTTTTTGTTTCTAAGCCTCTTGTAATCTATATTCATACCTTTTAACTTACATTTCATGTTGAACATTTTGACTTCAATTTGTTTCCATGCTCATTTCGTTCACACCTGTAATTCGTTCTATCCCTGCATCTCTAAGCCTCTTGTAATTCATATCAAGTTGAAAACAATTATCACCTTTGATTCGCCTTTAAAATTATTTCTTCAGTTATCAAATACTAATTTTGCGTACGTTGTAACTGTTTTCTAATCCTATGAAATCTTGTCTCTAAGTCTCTTGTAATCTATATTCGTACCTTCAAACTATCATACAAGTTGAAAATTATTATCACCTTTGTCACTATGTGGAATTAAACACATAAGAATTGTACCCATGTAAACTAATCTATATAAATGCGATTGTACAGCTTTTAAGAATGAAATCGCTGAATAGATATCTTTGCTGAACTTCTTGTTCATTTCAATCTAATGTTCCAATGGGTTTTTTCCACGATTTGAAAAAAGAAAGTAAACTGACATCTTTTAAATGAACATCCTATCTTCCTGATATTTTTGCGTATAGCTTTAGATGCCCTATCGCGATAGTCATTCTACAAAGTATCGCCAGCTTTATGAATTAGGCATTTCACTAGATGCACTTATATTTCAAGGGACCGGAACTGAATGAAATAGTGTAGGAGTTCATTGATGTTAGGCCTCTACTTATGTTAGCATACCTATTACTATTATAATGGTTATTGATTCATTGTATGCAAAATGCTGTATATGTCTTTTTATAAGGCTTATAACGAAGACCTAACTAGAAAGTTTGATATGTATTCACTCACTTGTTGTTTACTAAGTATTTAAATGAAGATGTATGCAATTTAGGGAGAAAGTACTACATACTAATCAAAGTAGTTTATTTATATATAATCAGTAGATTCATTTTACATAAAGAGCTATCTTCTGAACAGATGGTATCCGTTGCTTTCCTTTACGGATGCCTAATGTTTATTTACTAGCTGAATCATAATATATTCGTGTTGATAGATGTGCTTTTCATTGATTCCAGCGTTAAGGGTTTGGGACTGTAACCAAACAAAAGCCTCCCTAGAAAACACACATGATTCACTCCTCTTAGGCGGAGAAGTCATGAAGAATTTGAGCTGTTTTGAAAAATTTAATAACATGCTGAGATTTAATTGTGTGAGTTAGCCCTCTGTGACATCCAAAGGTTACAACACAATGATCGGTACTACTGGTTTGAAGATACATAGTGCAGTTATCAGATGTCTTGAATAATTTCCCTATTTGTGAAGACAAATCATCCTTTTCAAGTGTTGGTTTGTAGGGATTTGATTGATCGCGCTATGTCGTGAATTGGCAGAAGTTAGAATTCAAGGACCATTGGATCGGGTCCAAGTGGCTTAATGGTATACGAGCTCACCTTATAACCGGAAGGTCCTGGGTTTGAATCCCGGCGGGTGCGTACTGCTGAAGAGCCCCAAACTAGGACGAAACAGCTGTCCAGTACTCCCAGGTTTTCCAATGGTTTTCTAACTAATGTCAGCTTATGATGAAATCCTGAAACAAATCATCCTTAATAAACCATATTTTAGGAAGTCACATCACATCGGTTCAGTATCCTAATTTATCATTTCCAAAACAGCACTAACTTTATTCCACAAAAGAATACTCAACCAAATTGCTGTGAAACATCATGGCAGTTCACACAATGCTTCTGAGATCTCTTAGAAATTGTCTATGAAACTATAATATTGTTGTTCCTTTGGGTTCCAAAGGGAACATAATGATTCAACAGAACGTCTTTTTTCACTCTGTCCTCTTCAACCCTCTTCAGCTGGCCTCCCGATTGACCATACTGCCTGAAATCCTCCCCACAAGAACTCCTTCATGTCACCCTCGGACGCCCAACTCACTGTCTCCCACCCCCGTTGCACTAGAGCGGTGACCTTGACAGTAATTTTATCCGAAGATTTCATTAGAGTGTGGTCAGTCTCTCTTCAATTTCTCCGGTATATTTGCTGAGCGTTATGCTTTTGGTTGCTTTGTTCAAAGAGATCCAGGTTGTGAATTTATTCCGATCAGCCATCTGGTCTTCCGTAAGAAGAAAAAGCAGCTGTCGATAAGAGTCTGTGGTGGCCGGCTGGAAATGATGTTTGTGACATGCCAAGCGATGTAACACTCACGTTAAAAATCTGAATCTTGTTCTTTATTCTGAGTGCAGCTAGTTTCCAGACTCATTTCACAGTGATGAAGGTCTGTCTCGCCTTTCCGATTCTGGTTTTGAAATCGTCATCCATGACGTGTGCCTTTAGCTGAAACAGTGTTGCCTAGATAAGGGAAGGTAGTGACCTCTTTCAAATTTCTCCGGTGATAGTGGTTAGTGCATGTTGCTATCGGTTGGTTGGCTATCATCATCACCTCCGTCTTCTCTATGTTCACGTCATGTATTGTCTTCGCTGCCTGCCTCTTCTGAAAACTTGTCGGTTTTCGCCGGTAAATCTTCGAGTTAGACATTCGACACAAAACATCCGTGAAGTTCATATATTCCAGTGTCTTCTGTACGGTTCAACGTAGTCCTCTTTTCTTGTTCCCCGTGGCCCTCAACACACACATTCATGTCCGCAGCAATTATAAATATCACTGGTTTTAGTAGGCAACTTTGTCTTACCCCTGTTTTCATTTCAAACGTTTCACTGGATTTTCCGTTGTGGATCACTTGACATACCCCACTGTCGAATGAGGTTGATAAAGATTTGGGGTACCCCGCAGTATTGAAATACTTTCAGAATTACTTCACTGATGTCCAAATTCGATGATATTTAAATACTGCAGGTTTTCGATCGAAGGTGTATTCGTTGGATTTCCAGCCTTAGGTGGACTACAAAGTAAGCCACAGTGAGGTTAGGCTGAGTGCTTCCGATTAGATGGATGGTGACATCGATGGGCTTGCGAATATGTATATATATATCAACAGTTAATGATATCTTGGATTAGTGCAATTTTCTGGTTTGAACACAACTTTTTCAAGTGTGTAATCCTACTTCAACTACGATTGTTTATCGAGGAAATCAGTGACTCACCATTCGTATTTTCCCCTCAGTATATATATATATACTGAGGGGAAAATACGAATGGTGAGTCACTGATTTCCTCGATAAACAATCGTAGTTGAAGTAGGATTACACACTTGAAAAAGTTGTGTTCAAACCAGAAAATTGCACTAATCCAAGATATCATTAACTGTTGATCTGAAATGTAGATAATGTAGCTGAGGTTGAGAAATACAAAATATCAGTGGTTGAATTAGTAGTAGAAAGCTTGAAATAGTCAAGAGTGCTACACTTCTTGCTATTTTTTGAATTTCAAAAGATTTTCTATAAACATAAAATAATCACACTTCTTCCCAGGCACTTTTCTTCTTTGTGTTTTCAGTACATTTCTTCAGTTGTTTTCTGTATGTTTCTTCTACAAATTTGATATTTTGAAGGGACACACTTCTGTAAAAAGCTTTACATTGTTTTATTGGTACAATAATGGTACATCAGCGTTTTCGTTGGAACTTTATCTTATTCAAACTTTTATGCATTAATTTGCCAGGTATTTCACCAACTATTACTTGTGAACAAACACAGTCATTATGTGGTCAGCATGCATCTTGTCGAAATACTAATATAGGTGTCACTTGCAGCTGTGATCCCATGTGGAAAGATTCAAATCCAAATGATCCTGGAAAAGAGTGTACAAGTAAGTTTTTTCAGTGTGATTGTTTGCAAACAATCTTATGTAAATTAAAATTCCCAAAAGAAAGAAGATATTTTGTTCCTACTCATTAAGTTGTTTTGAGCTTTAATACTTTGCAGGCATGTATCTTCTAGATTACGTATGCCAAACAATGTCCTTCCAAGTCAGCCTCATCAATCAATGAAGTAATTTGAATAACATTTCAACTATTTATCCTGAATTGAATGTATTCACGGTGTATCACAACAGAAACATAATTTACTGCATAAGTTCACAAAGTTCAAAGAGTATTTTGTCTCAGACTTTCAGTAAAACTACAAGATGTGAACTTTGAACCTGCCAGGTTACTTATTCATGAAGTCGTTTATTGTTGCTGCGAAAGACAGCATTTCAGCTAATCGATATAGTGGGTGGCTTGTAGAAATCAGAAGCTTTTACAAATATGCAACAAAATTGCCTAGATTACTAGTCAGTCTTAAGCCTGGGAAAAAATAAGGATGGGTTTGGACTAGCAACCTCACCCCTTATAAACAGTCCTATCGCTGGTGAAATGTAAAGGCAAACACAAATTAACTCATTCTCCTATGGAACTGGGAAAACTTATCAGTTTGAGGTCGGATAAAGCTGACAAACAAAATTCTTCAGAAAGCCATTCAGCCGATGTAAGGTGTTGTCTTCTGATTGAAACAAAACTAGGTATGTGAGCACAGAATATCTTCACCATGTTTAAGGCTTCAATAGCTGCTGAGATAGCAGGAGGAATTAGAAAATATAGTTTCAAATCAGTTAGATTCGGTAAAGGGAACTTTATTATCAAGGAAGAGAAAAAAAGAAAATGCTGGACTGCTCACTTTACAGGACGCTCGAAAAGACTACCACTAACAACTCTTCCAGAAATACCAGCTATAAGGGCACATTGACCGTTTGATAGAAGTCCTGCAGTCCATAAAGTCATTGAAATCCAGGAAAGCAGCAGAAACAAATATGATTCCTCGAAATCCCTGGGAAGAGACCCAGAGATCTCAACAAAGTTGCTCGCGGCATTTATACTGGTATGAAAGGAAAGGAAGGTGCCTACTGATTAGAAGAAAGGTAACATTATAAAACTGTCTTAATAAGTGACATTAACGCATTCAATAACTGCAACGGAATTATGCTCTTGTCCATTTCCAGAAGAATATCAGGCCAGATTAATCCTGAAAACTTTAAATGATGTTGTGGATGGTTAGCTTCGTCCAACATAGGTTGGATTGGAAAGAAAGAGGCATGAGCGAATCAAGTTGTAACACGCACAACACTGACTAACAGATCTCAAAACTGGAAGACAAATATCTATCTCTACTTCGTCGACTTTGCAAAGGCATTCAATGGAGTCAACTACGAAGTACCTTTGGAACTTCTTCCGATGCTGTGAATATCACTTAAGCAAACTTAAACCAATCCCATTCAAAGGCTATATGTTGACACCGTTATATGCCAAATGATTCACAATGGAAAGCTCACGAAGGTGTGGGCTATGAGTCACAAGTACTGCATAATGGTTGATGACACTAGCTGGCTATCCAAGCCTCAGTTAGAATTATTATTATTATTGTATCCTTTAGTTCTTGGAGGAACGTAGGGCTTCAGCTGCGCACCTCCATTGCCTTCTGTTCTCTGCCAACTTTTCCACCCCGCTCGAGGTCTGTTCACATGCTTTCATCTCCTCCCCGCATCACCTCCTCCAAGTCAACCTTGCACTGACGACCAACTAGCCGCCTCCCTTTCAGGTTCCACTCGAGCAATGGCTTGTCTAGTGATATCACTTGATGGTTTCCTCAGAGTATGGCGAATCCAACCCATCTCCATTTCTTCCTACCTATTTGTTTCACAATCGGTTCCTGCTGGGTTGGTTCGCTCATTGCCAGAGATCCCTGTTGCTGATCTTTTCTGGTCGGCCATCTGATCTTGAGTGGTGTTGAGCGAAGACAACTGTTAATGAAGGTCTGAAGTTTGTTGGAGATGCTCTTTATGACTCACCAAGTCTCTGATCCCTATAGTAGCACTGACTTCACATTGGAGTTGAAACTCCGGATCTTATTTTTGATGCTGACTGCTGTTGACCTCCACACAGAGTTGAGAGTAATGAAAGCTTGTCTTGCTTTTCCGATTCTGGCTTTGATATCCTCGTCAGTTCCGCCTGTAGTTGAAACGATACTTCCCAGGTAGGTGAAGGAGGTTGTTTATTTCAGGTTCCTCCCATTTATGCTGATTGTTGTCTGTTGTTGTTGTTGCTGTTGGCCAGGAATCTTCATCACCTCTGTTTTATCTATGTTCCCCTGAAGTCCTAGCTTTGGTGCTTCTTCTTCCCACTTGTTGCTTTTCTCTTGCATATCTTCCAGTTTGTGGGAAATCAGACATATATCATCGGTGAAGTCAAGATCCTCCAAAGTTTTTGTGTGAGTCCATTTTATGCCTGTTTCCTCATTGCTCGCTGTCTGTCTGTCTGTCGCATTATCCAATCTATTGCAATCAGGAAGATCATTGGCGATAGTAGACAGCCTTGCCTCACTCCCGTCCTCACTTCGAAGGCTTCCGTAGGTTTCCTGTTGTGGATTACTTGACATACAGCGTTGTCGTATAACTGTTGGATGAGATGTATAATTGTCGATGGGACCCCGTAGTAGCGAAGTAGTTGCCAAATCACCTCTCGATCGACGCTGTCGAAGGCCTTTTCAAAGTCGATGAAGTTGAGTGAGGTGGAGAAGTGACTGCCATTCCAAGCTTTGTTCAATGATGGTCCGTAGAGTGGCGATTTGATCAATACATGATTTGTTTCTCCTGAATCCAGCCTGTTCCGGTCGAAGTTTTTCATCCAGGTTGACGTGTTTGATTCTCTCCAGGATGATGCGGCTTAGCATTTTGCTTGGGATGGATAGGAGCATAACTACGCGTCAGTTTTCGCATTGACTTAAGTCTCCTTTCTTTGGTAATTTGAACAAGTATCCGTTCTTCCAATCCTCGGGTACTTTGCCCTCTTTCCACACCTTCTCCATCAATGGCGTCATCAAGTCCGCTGTTGTCTCTGGGTCTATTTTCAAAGCTTCTGCTGGGATTCCATCTGGTCCTGCTGCTTTCCAAATTTTTAGCATCTTGATTGCATTCAGGACTTCTGATTTCGTCGGGGGGTCGATGTTCAATGATAGTTCTGCTTCCGTTGTTGGTATTGTTGGACGTGTTGTAGGTGGCGGACGATTTAGAAGTCTTTTGAAGTGTTCAGCCCAGTGTTTTCTTTGTTCCACCTCTCTGGTGATTGACTTTCCATTGTCATCCCTTACTGGCTTAATCTGTGTCGAACTTTTGCCCGATAGGTTCTTAGTTGTTTGGTAGAGTGTGGCGAGGTCTCCTTTGCCTGCAGCTTGTTCTGCTTCGTTTGCCATAGTTTCATAATATTTTCTTTTGTCTTTCCTGACACTCTTCTTCACTCTTTTGTTCAGCGTATTGTAGTTTGCATTCAGCTTCTGTTTTTGTTGCTCGTCAGTGCACTGGATAATCTTTTGTTTCACTATCCTTCTCTCTTCTATTAGTTTCCAAGTGTCCGTAGTGAGCCGTTGTTTGTCCTGTCTCTTCTTTCTGCCTGGAACTTCCATGCAGGTTTGACTCCACACCGTTTCCAAGTTGTTCCAGTGCTTTTTGACGCCGACCTCTTCGCTAGTGTTGATTTGTGTCTCGGCTTTGTCCCTTATGCTTGCAATGAAGATGTCCTTTGTATCTTGATCCTTCAGTTTTGAGCGCTGAACTTGGCTTGTAGTCTATCTGCAGCTCCTGTTTCCCTGAAAGCTTTTAATTTGATTTGGATTGTCCCTTGTACGAGATAGTGGTCTGAGCCAACGTCTGCTCCTCTTCTAACTTTTATGTCCAGTAGGCTGCACCTCCACTTCCTTGAGCAGCATTGAGATGAAGTCCGTTTGGTTTTTGGTTTGCCCGTCTGGTGACACCCATGTAGCCTTGTGTTTATCTTTGTGCTTGTATACACTGCCACCAATCACTAGTTCGTTGAAGGCGCAAAAGTCGGCGAAGAGTTCCCCGTTTTCATTCATTTCTCCGAGATCTTCTCTACCCATGATGAGTTCCCTTTTTGTGTTGTCTGGTCCGAGTTTGGCGCTCATGTCTCCCATTAGTGTCTTTATGTCACCAGGTGGAGTATTGTCCATCGCTGCCTGTAGTTTTCTGTAGAATTCTTCTTTCTTTTCGAGATCTGCCTTGTTTGTGTGTGCATAACATTGTACGATTGACACTTTCCTTCCTTTGGAGTTGAATCTGGCGGCCATTATCCTGGACGAGATCGCCTCCCATTGCATCAGGGCCTTTGTTGCCGTTGGTGACATCATGATAGCCATTCCCTCGGTTTGCGTGTGGATATCTTCTGGGTGACCGGAGTAGATCACTGACTCACCCGTTGACAATTTGGTGAGTCCATTCCCGTTCCATCGGCTTTCACATATTCCCAGCAGTTGGATTCCGTATCTTTTCATCTCGTTTGCGATCTGGGCAGCTTTCCCTGTCTCGTACATAGTGCGGACGTTCCATGTCCCCACAGAAACTTTTTCTTTTGGTGCAAAGAGGTTCATTGTGCTGAAGTTACTATAACAATTTTGTTTACAGGGTGTGATTGCTAGCCTCAACAATAAATCAAGCTAAGAAACCTAAATCTCCTTACCGCTCCAGTACCAATACTCTGTAATTTTTTGAATCATTCTTTTATTGTCTAAATGCATCTAGCTTTATTAACAGGACCTTAGTGTCGGTAATAGAACGTTATGTATGATTGAGCAAAATGTGAGTATACTGTATGATCCAACTTCTAACTAATATCTAAATGATAGATGGTTAGTCTAAAAGCTGACTTTCTTGAGAAAGACGTCCAGGAGAATACCACATCATTTCTGCTTAAAAATTTTCTACGATTAGAACTATATTTCTAAGTGTATTTATACAGATGGTTTACTTATGAATAACCAGTTGTCATTAGTAGTAATTGTGTTGATATTATCTAAATAAAAAACAACAACTAATATATTAATGTTTAAAACCAAGAAAGGTAGTAGAATATTCCGTTAACTGTAGGCAACTGAACTATTTTAACATCTTTTTATTTGAGATAGTTTGTGAGGACATTTACACAGTCTGTCGGATTACACCCACGCATACATTAAGTCTAGTTTTAGCTTTTATTATTTCATAAACTTCTTTGAAGTTGAGTGTACTGATATGACGTGACAGTGTACACATCCATCACCATTTTTGTGAGATAAAAAGGAATTCTTGAAATTCTTTGGCTGGTTTATATAGTTTCAAGAAAAATATTAAAGTTAATAAGTATGCACTTTAACAATAGAGTTAAATAATAGGCATATCATTAGATAGTATTGTTAACGCGTAAGCTTGTTCATAAGTCTACTTTCACTACTCAGGTATATATGAATGCCTTAACATAACTCTCTGCTTGACAATATGTAATTGGTCATAATAACCTTGACTTTGTTTACTTGTACACATTTTCTTAAATAAACGCTACTTTTATTATTAAGAATAAAAAATATGAATCTTCTGAATAAATAAATATGTACGCTTATAATCTCTGAAGAAAGATCTGCAAATAGTTAATCATGCATCAAAGTAAAAATTATTGAAAATAATTTGTGTGCAGGATTCAGTTACTAATGTTTATATGACTTACTACATATTGTTACTTAAAACTACCTGTGATGATATGCCTATATCATATATCAGTAAAAATATTAGTGTAAACGATTTTATGTCATCACTATCTTCAGTTTCTGAGTTAGTTAATCGGACACCGTGGTAAATTTATTGAAATGTGTAATTTATCTGCGATTTGTGATGTATTTACGTAATACATTTTGAAAATTGATCACGTGCGTCACTTCAGTTTACAAGAGAATGAAAAGAATAAAACGTTAAATAAAATAAGCAAAAATAACTGTGAATATGGGTAAAGATGACAATAGTTGACACGAATCTTGATATCGTCAGATATGAATTGCGAAGGTAGTTTAATCCAATGTAGAGGAGTGTTCTGTCCAAAGGCCACAGTTTATTCTGTCGTTAGTGAAATATGTCTGTATCAAATCACCTTACAAAGAAGAAACAACCTTACTACTTTACGACAAATCCTAAAACACACTATCATCTAAGATTAACTATGCGGCGCAGCCTATAATTATCAAAAAAGCTGAGAATGTCTTATCACAGACCTCAACACCGTGAAACATCCTTTACTGCAAACCAAATTACGTGTCTGCGGACATGCACTTAGAGTAGTAAACACGTTTGGATAAAATTGTAGCCGGGTTGCTTAAAAAAAAGTAATACAACTCTAAATTCTCGATAAACTCAGATTTTTCATAACAAAACATTAATGATATGAATCATAAGACTGATGTTAACTTTCCTTTCAAAATTCAACAGAAGCGTATTTTAAACAAAGGTGAAGAGACAGATGTTAATAAAATTAAGTCCTCCACTGTGTACAAACGCAGTTTACTGTAACGCCCAGTCCGCTTTACCTAACAGTGTTACCAAGAATAATTTCATCTATTTTTCTAATTACTCTAAGATCCCTTGTTATTTTGTTTCACTTATATGACTTTTATTGTTTTCTCCCTTCTCGTACAAACTAAACTGAGAATTAATAAAAAAAGTATTATTATTATTGCTATGGTTTTAAATCTTCCTTTGCTTCCTGAGTGGGACATAAGAATTCAGTGGTACACCTTCATTCCAGTGTGTTGTCTGAAATCATTTCCAGCTAGCACCAAGACTACCGAGGGTCTTTAATTTTTCATTCGTTATGATTGTTTCCATTCCAAGCCATTCATTAGGTTCCGTTCGATAGACTGAAACGATGTCATTATAATGTCATTTGAGAACCATAAAATTATAAAATAATTGAGAAGGTAATTTTGGTGGTAATTAACAGTCCAATGCATTTATATGGGAAATTACTTTATATGCAAGTATATAAATATATTCACACAGTTGTTTTTCCACCCTTATTGAGATTACGTTTTCTCCCTTTCTTGTTGAACAGTGCACCCAGGTACCATCGCTTTAATAGTATTCGCTGCAATCTTATTACTTCTAGCTGTCGCCACAATAATCTACTTTGTACTGCGTACAGAATCAGTTAAAAAGTTGAGAGTGAAACGGACCATGTGAATGTTCGAAGGGATATTTTTGTGATTTCTATGGTTTGTTTGTGAACAAAAATCATCTTAAATGTATCAGTAAGAGAGATGAGTAATTCAATGAAAATACTAATTATAAATTGGGAAACTTGTAATAGATTTTGATGCGAAGAAATATTTTTATGTCCTTATCTTGTCTTTGATACTAACCTGTTTCTCAAACATTGACATTTTTTCATTCAATAATAAAACGTTATTTATATCTCCATTAAAGTTTATTAAAACAGTCGCTTGGATACAATAATATCCGTCTTTTTCATATATCAAGCAATTACTAGGAGTTATATCTGAATACAGAATGAGAGAATCAGGCCGACTTCTACCGAAAAAAGTTCATGTTTCTCGCAAATAGAATTGTCATTCACCCGATGTTTTTACTCTAACTGACTCGTTGTAGTCTGAGCGCAAAAAACCGATCTCTGCGTCCTACTAGACAGCTGACAAAACTTCCTGCAGAGATGCACAGTCAGAAAACACTCCGAAGACGGCAAAAGGACGATTGCTCGTGGTCAAATCTCTGTGGTTCTTTTCAGCAATGATAACATCGAAAACCCAAAATCGCCTCAACCGTTCTGTTAGGCAGCTGCCATACCGATCCAGTAGTCTGAGTTTTAAAGTGAATGGTGTAGAACGAAATGAGATGACTAAAGTTCAGCCATATGATGTAGCTTAGAATCCAGTAGAGCATTCCCGACAAAATGGAGGTGGGTGGGATCGAAACTCTCTCCACAAGAACTACACATCAACGATTCTCAATGACAGTTCAAGGTCAGAATGACATATATTCACTTAAACAAAATCAAATCGTTAAACAACACATCATCGATGTATAGAACAGCCAAGAAGAGGAACATAAAAACCACAAATTAAACAAGGACAAATACAAATAAAACGAATCAAGTCATCATATAATGTGCAAATGTCAAAACAATGAAATACAGTCTAAAAAAAACCTACAACATTTACAAACCTAATTAAGAGTGCCCATGAAAATTATTTTTGAAAAGAATGGTTACTGAACAAAGAAAATTTGTTTCTATAACCTGCTATTCATCAAGTTCTACAGTTATATAAACATACTAGTGAAATAATTAGTGTTATCAACATCATTAATATTTAAATAACATTGATTCAGCATTAATAATATGAATGCATCACAGTTCAGTAGTATCAACACTACAATAAACTGAATGTCAGAAAAATTAAGAAAGTTAACAGTGGAAATTCATGAATTCATAGTCTCTACTGAAGGCCAGGGCAGTTTTAGTGGCTGGCTGCACTTGCTTCTCTTGTGCAAAAAGTACCGGTTCTTTCACACGAATCGCGATAGCCTCTGCTGTTTGAAGTATTTAGTACTTGGATGCTTTTGGCAATTTTTTGGTACCCGGTAGATGATAGAGAAGGATTCTTCAATGCTGGCTTCGTAGCCGGTTTGCGCCAGATGGTTTTCACTAAACCTTTGTTTAGCCCCTCTTGTAGGTGTGCCTGACCATGAAACATCAACTTCCTAGAACACCAGCCAATATAACTCGCTCCACAACCGTAGTTGCATTGGCAGATACAATTGGAAGTTTCTAGTTTAGGTTCTTCACCTTTCAATTGAGAAATCACAACCGGTCGCATACAAAATAAGTCTTGTAGGTTGCCAGCATTAAAATTTTTGTGTATTACAGTTGTATGTAAAAGGCTTCGTGTTCATGGATAGTGAATAGTCCTTTTCAAATTTCTTAATCAAATATTTTTTGATGAATATGTCAGGATGTATCATGTACCATCTTCAATTACTTCTTTTGTAATCCACTAATTCGATGTTAATTAAACATTAGTGTTTTTAATAACAGTGATTTATTCACTGCAGCTAAGCTCGTTCCCATCTATCGAACAACTTACTCTTTGGTGCAATCGAAAATCGATAGATATCCTTCTCATGTTACCTCCAACTGTGTATACAAATTTACTTGTATCTGCGGGAGCAGTTACATTGGAAGGACAGAAAGAAGGGCATATCTACGATTTTCCGAACATGTACCAAAAAGCTTACGTCTAAAGGGAACAAATGCTTTAAATAGTGCCATCACCAGGCATCTTCTCGACACGGGTCATGAGGTGGACGTTGAAAAGTCGTTCAAAATTATCAATAAGCAAAATAGCTCCATTCTCCTTAAGTTTGCTGAAGCCATTTCCATCAAGCGCATGAAACCTGATTTATGCGTCCAGAAAGAAGCGGTTATCAGCCTTTCTTTGCCCTGGTAACTGGATAATTTCACCTCTCTTTCCTCCGAATGTGAAATGCTAAAAGTTTCCATTGTGTTTGATTATTATTGTTCGGAATAGTGGTTAATATTGCATATTTATATATGTATATTTTTAGTGTATGCGTATATTGATCGATTGATTTTTTGTTTAAACTGAACTCTGTGCAAGTATGTTAAAATTGTTGTTGTAGATATATTTAATAATGTCTTTGCCATGTAAGCAGCTGACGAGAAGGCAACGAAATAAAAGATGGTACCATTTTATTCTGCTAAAACTGTAGTTCTTGCATTGTTCAAATTCATTAAGGGGAATAAATGTATGAAATATACATAACCGAAGAACTTGATGAAGAGCAAGTTATCGAAAGGAATTTCCTTTGTCCAGTAACCATTCTTTTGAAAAATAATTGTAATGGGCATTTCTAATCGGTTAAAATACCAATATCAGTGCAAACGAGGTTTTCTATACAATCATCCCAATATACCTGGTCATTAGGAGAAACGGTTCTAGCTCAGCTGAAATGTAATATTTTAGTTAGCAAAAATCGCAGGATGCAGGCACTCCCAAGTATTAGTTTGAGGGGGATTTGATTTGTTTCAAGTTTGACCATGAAATGATTGATACCAGTTAGAGAATTACTGAAAACCCGTGGCTTCTCAGCAGTATGCACCCCACCGGCATTGAAACCCAGTACAGAGAAAAAGGGAACTCTGAAAGGGATTTTCTGTCTCGTCAAAGTCTAAGTAACAGATTGTCTCAGTATTCAACCTGGAGCTGCTGAACTTCAGTGAAGCCGTTCTCAGAATTAATATCAATATTTAGACTTCACGACTGATCATTAAATCATTGTGCATTTAAGTAACACCAAATACGTGCATCAAGAAGGTAATAATTGAAATATCTCACACATTCAAATAACAGTTATTGTTAGGTCAAAGGATATGAAAGTGTAGAAATGCATAAACAAACCTCGGGAACTATGTTGGCAAACTAAGATTAGCACTAAATATGCCTAAGACATCCTCGTGAAAAGTGTTGATATATCACAGTTCTCTGTATGAAAGAAATTAATCTATCGTCGAATCGTACGTAACCCAAATTTCTACTTTTGTCTGCCTAATTTAGTTTGACAAGAGGGATGAGAAATGTTCCTCGTGAACTGTATGTCACACAATTAATATTTCTCGTGATAACATTTTTAATATCTCAGTTTCAGCAATACCATAAAAAATGTTAACTAATGAAATCAATGAAGACTCCGATGTTTATTAAGACACTAATAACTCACTCCCCTAACAACTGATTTGTAGGTTAAAACAACTTTGAATTTCAGCATGAAAAAAAGACGGGGAAATACAAATTTTACGCAATAAATCATGATCTTTAACGTCTCTGATTATTTGGAAGCAGCTGAAAAATGTAAATCAATGTCCTGAAAATAATCATAATAATAATAACAGCTTTATTCCAAACAGCATTTGTGGTACAGGTATGGAATTTTCAGCGTGCACTACATAATTGCATCTAATTACCTCATAAATTTAATAAGATTTTTAAAATCAAAAAGCAACTCCCCAAAACAGGATAAAAAAGTGAAAAAGAGAACAGCGTCGCGTTTACATTTTAAACAATGCACCACAGAATAGGAAATATAAAATTGGTGTGTGATAGAAGATGAGAACAACAGTGTAATAGTAACGAAGAAAGGAAAACAAAACTAATGGGACTATTTGTTAGAGTGCCGCAGTAAGTTGATAATGTCATACCTAACGGATTTCTCATCACATACCAGCTGTGCCAAATATGGTATTGTGTAGTTTTGTATTTGGTAGTCCTAGCATATAGCCATCTATAGCTACTTCTAGTTCTACCAGATGAAATGCAAGGAGAGAGCTGAGTATAGAGAGGATGCTCGGGGTCTGACAATATTGTATTCGCTAGTTTCTTAGAAGTTATTTGGTGGATGGTGACCAGCATTAGAATCCAGTATGCGCATTTGGACCTATTTAGGACACGTCGTCTGGATGTATCTGCGTTGAATTAAACTTCACTATTTATTGTTTTCCCTCGTTTCACCATGTTGATTGCAACTGACAACACGATCTTAGACTTCACTGTATGGTTAATTTAATTTCATATAAGAATTCTTGAGGCTTAGATTTGAATTCAGTTGTTACTTGGACTCTACTGCAAACTCTGTGGAAATCGAAACCGTTTCATGCACTATTGCAAATAGCAGACAGATAATATTTCACAGTGTTTAGAGATTAAGCTATGATAGTATCATCACCTCAGTCACACAAATCTGAAAATACTAGACATTTGCTGAGAAAATTCACAAACTTATCAGGAATTCGTGTGAGTAACAAGACTGTTTGAAGCATTCTCATTCGAAATTAAGTGATCACACGTGACTGAATAGCATGACAGAACAATAATATTTCACCTTACATTTTCACTCCATAAAATACTTAATACTTGAAAGCATTCTTTAAGATGTGCATCGGTGGCACAGTGGTTAGGACTCTCGCCGACCATGCACATGGTCCGAGGTTCGACCCCCTGCCGACGCAAACCTGATATCTATGATCGGCCGGCAAAATTTGACCTACCAATATCCATGCTGAAAATTACATACTTGTACCAAAAATACAGTGTGGAATCAAGCTGTAATCATCAATAAAAAATGAATATAAATAATATTTGCATATCTACAGCGTAGAAGCATTTTAGACGCAGCCGCAGACGTCTTACACAACAGTATCGTCTCATCATTAGATAAAGGTGCCGAATACGTCCGCTGCACGTTTCTCGACTTCACTTCTGCCTTCGACTCTGTACCTAGATGTCCCTTGCTAAATAAGCTCTCGATGACACAAACCGAGTCCTGGGTCACAAACTGGTTGCATTCCTACTTCTCAAACAGAATGCAGTACACTGTATACAAAGGCAAATCCTCCTCTGCTGTGCTCACTGAAGCTGGTGTCCCTCAAGGTGCTGTACTCCCCCCCCCACTTCTCCTTCCTTTCTTTCTACATGACCTACCATCTTCAAATGACATTAATTTTGTCAAATATGCTGACGACCTGACTGTATCTTTGCCTGTCAAATGTCAAAGTGATTGCTCCAAACTAAATGGCTTTTTATCAGAAATCAGCCAGTGGTACAAGGAAGACGGTCTAACCTTAAATGCCAAACAGTCAATTTCACCTCTAGGCATAAATCTGACCTAAACAAACTGGTTAGCACTCACGAGGAGTGCAACATAGATGGCACTGAAGTAGAGACCAAGTCGGAAATTAAATATCTTTGCGTCATCCTGTCTGCTGATATTTCCTGGTCATCTCATACTTTGATGACTCCTAATAGAATATTCCGTCTTACCTTCTACATTAAGAAGTTAAGACCCAACCCTTACTCCTACAATTCGTTAACCCTCGCATTCTGCCTATTATTCTCTGTTGTTCCCCCTTAGTTTTTCCAAGGCTACTGAAGAAATACTATATCTTATCACGTAGGATGTTAAAGGTTGTCAGCACGGTAAGCAACGTGCCACTTAACCAGCTTGTTAATATCCTTATCGACAGGCACTTGTACTCATGTGAAAAATGGAATAAGTCCATTCTATCTAACTCACACCACCCTCTTCATTCACAACTCTCCCATTGTATCTCATCAGCCAGAACCAGAAGCCTATATAGGAAACTATATGCTTGCACTAGCAAGTACAAAATCTCAACTACATTCTACTTGGCTCGTGTTCTGTGCGATAAAGAAAGCATTACGCGTGATACCTACAACTTATTAAATAGTCAGTAAAACAACTGGATCTCATTATTCCAAATCATATCATTTATAGGTACAACGTTTTCTTTCTTTGTTTTCTTCTTTTCTATTTTTTCTGTTATGTCCTGCTTTGATTCTTTCTTCCTTACAAACTCTAATTAAAACATTTCTCTTCGTTGTTTCACACTCCGTATATCTCGACCATTTTGTTACCGCTCACGCCAGTAAACATGCTAGCATCTACTTCTCTAACACCTACAAACACTGTTCAGCTTTTGGCTTTGCTAACGACATGTTAATATGTTGTTGTCAAAACTAACCGAGATTACCCTCAATCTATGTAGAATTTTATTGATTGTTAATGTACTAACAGGATGGAATACTGTAGTAAAATGCTGAGAATTCCATTCTGTGTAGCAAGTACTGTTTTGGAATAAAGCAAATTATTATTATTGGGCGGGGAAGTTTCTGACCAGTGGATGGCTGTTCGTAGCACAACTTCCACCTTAAGTTTATGAGGAGTCCAAAACATAGACAAAACAACTGTCTATTGTCTCTTATTTGTGAATGTATTACTAGTCTGTGTTATTTTATAAGAAAATCTATTCTAAACACTGTGACGCGGCCTCAAAATTAATGTGACAGTGAATCTCCATCCAAATTAGCATATCACTAAAAGATACTTTCCTCAATACCACTTGATCAGGATCAGTAAATTTCGACGATAATAAAAACGAGTGCAATGAACAGTTCAAACAATATACGTTCAAAATATGTAGCAATAGAAATGGGTAATTGATTCCTTCCTGCACACTTCTATATTCTTTCTATTCGCGTAGCCGTTTGCGCCACCAACAATAATTATCTCACTAATGTTTGAAGTTGGACTGGATTATGCGTCAGACTGTATGCTAGGAGCGAAGAAACAAGAAAACGCTGGACCAACGACAAGATGACTCTAGAAGATCTGGATTTCACGTGTGGATGATTTGTGCCTAATGTCACACAAATTCGAAGACTTACAGGGGAAAACCAACAAACTGGCTGGAAAAGCTGGCAGCGAAGACAGGACTTCACTTGAAAATAGAGAAGACGGAGGTGATGCAAATAGCCAGCCAACAACAACAACAACAGCAACAACAACCAGCACCAGTCACCATCAAAGGGAAAGAGTTGATAGCGGTTACTTCCTTCACTTATCCAGGAAGCATCGTTTCTACTACAGGCGAGACAAAAGAAGATGCCAAAGTCAGAGTCGGAAAAGCAAGATAAGCCTTCATTAACCCTAAACCAGTTTGGAAATCCTCTGCGCTCCACAGAACAAAGGACAAGATTTGGACTTTCAACACAAATGTGAAGTCAGCAAATTCTTACGTATGGGCAAGCGTGTCACGAGAAGGATTTCCAACAAGGTGCTGCAGACTTTTATTAACAGCTGCCTTCAATAGCTGACTCCATAATGAAGATCGAATGGCCAGAATGAATAAAGTAACAAGAAACTGTGGGAACAGACCAACCAAGAGCCAATCGCTCAACAAATTTGTAAGAGAAAATGGAGATGGATGTGGCATACAATGAGGAAACCGTTGAATGCCATCGCGCGCAATGCAGACCAACACTCGAGTGGAATCCCAATGGAAAGTAAGGAGTCGGTCTTCCTAGGGTGACATGCTGGAGATCATGTGAGGAGGGGATGAGAGATTATGGTCATTTGTGGACCCAGCTGAAGAAGACAGCAGAAGATAGGACAAAGTAGAGATGTGTTGTTGAAGCCCTATGTTCCACTCAAAACCTTGGGGATTATTATTAATATAGTGTTTAAAGTGGAACATCCATAGCTGAGGTCGAATTATTCCACATATCTTTTACTGCATAGAGGAATGTAAAATTTGACATACTTCACAATACTTATCTTCAAAATCAGCGGAATATCCTTTGACTAATAATAATTAATAACAACAGGGCGTTTCTAGAATCCAATTTAGATACGTTAAACATGAATTTATAATTTTATAATATCTCCATGTTTTACACGTTTGGCGTTGACCAGTTTCAATTTACTATCGTTTATTTCTCTTTCCTGTCTCTTCTTTTAAATAAAATGCCTAATTCAATAGGCTGTATGCCTACTAACTTGATTTAAGTGTGCATCACACGCGAAAATATATATGAGACAATGTGTTTAAGAATTATTCAGAATATCAGTATTCTGTGTATGCATACGAATCTTGTTAATTTTTTTAATTTTTTGATTACAGCTTGATTCCACACTGTATTTTTGCTACAGGTGTGGAATTTTCACCATGGATATCGGTAGGTCAAATTTTGCAGGCCAACCATAGATATCAGGTGTGCGTCGGCAGGGGGTCGAACCTTGGACCATGTGCATGGTCAGCGAGAGTCCTAACCACTGTGCCACCGACGCACGTTCATTGCTACCCATCCTTTAAGAATGTTAACACGTCAAAAGAAAAATTCGCGCAATTTCAGCTACCAGCCAGCTGCCTGTTATGGTAATCAAAATTCTTAAGAAAATTACAGATTTGATTCATGCCGAACATGAAGAAAAAGACTCAAGTACATAATTATGAAAATACGTTGGAGTGTATATGAAAAATAAATAAATAAAACCGGAGTATGACAGCTGATCACATATTCTCCTAATACTAATTTAACGCCTTAATTTTGCACTGCAAACCGAAACCGCAGGATAAATGAACCGCATTCATGACTTTTCAATCTCAGAAAATCTCTGTTCTGGTTAATAAGTTTTAAATTCACCCTCCTGTAATTTGATGGACATTTCAAATGGAAAGAATCTGTGTCTCTTTTCTCATAAGCAAAGACAACTTGTCATCTCTTAAAATACATATTGAGTTTATTGAATTAATTAATTAATATAACCAATTTTAGTTCTCATAGCAAAATTAGGATTCTTGTAAGAAATACAGACAAAAGAGTACAGTTTGAATAGACTCAGTAAACTCTGATTCCACTGAGTTTATAAAATAAAAAATTATGTAAATTCTCTACATATGGTATTGATTGTTGTAATATTTCAATCATTTATTTCTTCACACTGTAAAAACTACCGAGAATCATCGGAGATAATCATACTAGCCCAATGATTACCAAACCTGAATGACAGTTACATTTTCAGGCTTATCTTTTCGTAATACATGGTATATAATTGAAGCGACAGCTATCAGAGTTAAGATGGTAACGAATATTATCAACACAATGATGCCCATTTGAACTGTTAAACATGAAAACAAAAGAGTATGAGATTAGTAGATCATATATACATACGTAAATCTTCAAAATGGTTAATATGATGTTAAATGTGGGACAATAGTTTGTCATAAACAAGAATACGCAGCACAAACAATATTCTAATTAAACCCAGATTTCATACCTGAAATGATAAATTTTAATTCTGTTAACTGTATATCACCACTTCTTCTGCTTAGTAATTTATCAATTCGATATATCGGTGATGTGTTGTTTAACGATTGGATTTTGTTTAAGTGAATATAGTCATTCTGACCTTGAACTGTCATTGAGAATCGTTGATGTGTAGTTCTTGTGGAGAGAGTTTCGATCCCACCCACCTCCATTTTGTCGGGAATGCTCTACTGGATTCTAAGCTACATCATATGGCTGAACTTTAGTCATCTCATTTCGTTCTACACCATTCACTTTAAAACTCAGACTACTGGATCGGTATGGCAGCTGCCTAACAGAACGGTTGAGGCGATTTTGGGTTTTCGATGTTATCATTGCTGAAAAGAACCACAGAGATTTGACCACGAGCAATCGTCCTTTTGCCGTCTTCGGAGTGTTTTCTGACTGTGCATCTCTGCAGGAAGTTTTGTCAGCTGTCTAGTAGGACGCAGAGATCGGTTTCTTGCGCTCAGGCTACAACGAGTCGGTTTCGGTCGTTACAACACTATCTCACGGTGAAAGTGAATTCCAGTCTAACCAGAAAACTTTCAAAAATTTCTACATCCGCTGACCACTGTTAACTTATCTCCGGTTCATTGTTTTCTTCACGCAACACTGAAGGATAGCCAAAAGTGATGACCACAAAATCAAACTAAGTTACAAAGGTAGTTACGAGGAAAATTCAGGCAGACATCAGCAAAGTACCTCCATCAACAATATAGGAGAATTTTCCGGCCACTTCTGCAAATCAAATAGAGATATAAATCTCGGAACACACACATTTGACCATAGAGAGCAATGAAAGGACGATTACAGCGAATAAAATTCTCATTTCGACGAAGTCATCAACTAGGCTGTATATTCGTTTATTTATGGTAAATAGGTGAAGTTCCAGAACTATTCCAGGTGAAAGGCCAAATTAATAAAACTTCAAAGTCTAGTAAACGTGGCGATCGAGTACAGAATATAGTGAGGTGGAAAGGCTGTAGCATTATCCTAGAAATACTTCAGGTCAAGTTAGTAGGTTTACAATTAGGAATAAAAATGCCATGATAGACAGCGGGGACGGATAGAACTTAAACAAAGTAACATCACAATCACTGAGATGATTGACTTGTTGTGCAGTTAGAAATGCAGAAGTAACAAACTAGACGGGATGGCCGGACAAAAAATCTAGTACGACCATAACTGATGAAACGAATAATTTTTTATACAATTTTATTTATTTTAGTTTTTTATTTTCTTTATTTTTTATTACAGCTTGATTCCACACTGTATTTTTGGTACAAGTATGTAATTTTCAGCATGGATATCGGTAGGTCAAATTTTGCAGGCCGACCATAGATATCGGGTGTGCGTCGGCGGGGGGTCGAACCTCGGACCATGTGCATGGTCAGCGAGAGTCCTAACCACTGTGCCACCTATGCACATAATAGAGGGAGGACCGTCAGGCCTCCCCACTGACAAAAACTGCACGCCTTAGAGCACCCGATTAGGGTCCGTTGTGAGTTTCAACCCACTGAGGTGCAATGGTGAACTCAACCCGGGGTCAGCGCATTCTTCATCACCCTTAACCCGGCGCCAGTTAATTTTAGCGATTAAATATGTAGAAATGATAAAATAACAAAGTATGCGGGAAGTTCGGATAAGAAAATATGTTGGTGTGAATAGGGATTAAGAAAAAATTAAAAATAACATGAATAAACAAGATGTTTAGATAAGAAAGGTAATGGTGTAGTCACTATCACCTGTTTATGATGGCCATGGCAGGGACAAGGGTTGGACGTATTTCTTTTGGATGTAAAGCGTAGGTTTGAGATTTTCGATGACTAGTTCATCGGCTAGGCCCAGATGTTTTAATTTTACTCTGTTGATAGGTTTGATCGAATGTTGAATATGATTTGAGGGATTTGTTGAAAGGCACTGAGTTGACTAGATGTTCTGTCACTGAACTACATACAAATTTCCGTTCTCCTTTTACTAGCAAGGCTGTAAAATGTTCATGAGCGCGTTCTTCAAGTTGGCGAATGGTGCGACCGAGTAACTCAGCTCCTCGCGAGCAAGTAAACTGGTATATATACGTTGAAGTGGCCAAATGCGACAACTTATCTTTCGCATCCTGACTGAACAGTTTCCTCCAGGAAAGCATCAGTACCGGGCTTGTGGCGAAGTATGTTTTCCTCAGAGATTCGAAAAGGCATTTCCAAAGGATTTCTGCTTCAGTGTCACGTTTCAATTCTAGATTAGGCATCTTTTTCTGAACGGACTCGACTTGTTCAGAAGTCTTCTTAGGTTTAAGACTCTTGTATATGGACCTAAGTAGATTTTCAATTTTCTTAATTTTACGTATCACCGAAAATAGTCCCGGAACTTCCCAACCCATTTACTATAAATAAGCGAATGTACAGCCTAGTTGATGACTTCGTCGAAATGAGAATTTTATTCGCTGCAATCGTCTTGTTATTATTCCCTCAGGTATAAATGTTTTGATAAAACCATTTGAAAAACTTCAGCCTATTTTATGAAAACATATAGTGTTTCCTGGAAAAAAGGTTGAAAATATAAAATATATGTTTGACACCGTACCTATAAATTATTCAACAGCAGTAGTGGTAAGCTTAAGGAAACAGTCATTGGGATCAGTAAAAATCTGCCATCTGCATTTAAAGAGACATACACAGTGGCGAAAAATACAGAAACAGAAAAAATGCAGGAAGCGAAAGAAAAAAATAAATAAAATAAGGATTCCGATCACTTAGAATGTAAAATACACACATAATAAATACAAGTATAAAACACCTCAGATAAAAGCAATAGAAGAACAAAGGTAAAAAAACAAAACATATATCCAAACAGAAAAATTAAACAAAATATTTAGAAATAATGCCCGAAATGGAGTGGAGATATATATTGTCGCTGTACATTCGCCTATCATTGACTGCTAACACCTACGTACGTGAGTGTAGAATAAGTCTGGTGGCATGCTGGGAAGTACACCAAGCACCTGACATATACTAATGACAGCTTGTGAGTATGCCAATTTAGCGTCGACTGACAGAGCATAACACTTCTGAGAGAAGAAAGATTTAGTCAACTTCTCAGGAGTATCTTAACAAGGAGTTCGACGACGAGAGAAACATGGGTGAGGAACAGAATCTCCATTATTGCTGTCTAACATGCAATACGGAAGCATAGCAGAAAGAAGCGTCACATTATCTAAATAAAATACAAAATTACGAACATGATCGAAAGACTACAACGGGTACCGAAAAGGTGACAGCCACATCAGTTATCACCTGTCCATCAGCGAGCTTCCCACACAGAGATATTTCAATGGGACGAACGGAATGCGTCTTATCCAGAATAACCCCAGTAAGTGTTTCTAGATTTCGACGTGATTCCTACCAAAAATCTGTCGCCATTCATGATGCTTTGATGTCACTCTCGTAAATGTTATCGTATACAATGGTGATATTCAATCAAATGTTTCTCCAAGTAGGAGAGACTAACCTTGATTGGTAGAGGAATCAGCATTGGGCGTTTCATCTGTTGATGAATCTGTAGCAGTGCCATCGGTCTCATTAGTTGTCGCTTCCTCGCTTGTGACTTCATTGGAGATTGTAGTCATCTCACTGGTTTGTTCGACACTGGATTCTGTGGGGAACCGGAATCAATAAAACTAAGAGTTTAAGAATCAGGGAACACTCTATGTTGTGGATGTTTTGATGTATTTGTGTCTCGCAGTCTAGGCTGATTTGCAATCGTCTGGCTTCAAGTTCTACTTTGAAGAATCTTTAAATATTCCCATTATTAATATTAGAACAAGACATATAAGCGTACAGTGTTGTTTTCAATTGGATAATGTTGAGGAATCACTCTAATTTGCATAGATTTATATATGAAAATGTTAACCAATGACAGTGAATTCGTGGATCAAATCCAGCCGAGGAGTCATGATTGCTCAAGCGAAAGACAAGCTAACTAGCTGTAACACTTCTATGTGCATCTGCAACATAACCTGCTCCTGCGACGAAAGCTATATAGCGCGAACGACCAGACAGCTCAACAAACGTATTAATGAGCACCTTCCTTCATGGTTTAGAAAACGACAAACTTGAGTACCGTAAACGTGACAGCCACATCAGTTATCACCTGTCCATCAGCGAGCTTCCCACACAGAGATATTTCAATGGGACGAACGGAATGCGTCTTATCCAGAATAACCCCAGTAAGTGTTTCTAGATTTCGACGTGATTCCTACCAAAAATCTGTCGCCATTCATGATGCTTTGATGTCACTCTCGTAAATGTTATCGTATACAATGGTGATATTCAATCAAATGTTTCTCCAAGTAGGAGAGACTAACCTTGATTGGTAGAGGAATCAGCATTGGGCGTTTCATCTGTTGATGAATCTGTAGCAGTGCCATCGGTCTCATTAGTTGTCGCTTCCTCGCTTGTGACTTCATTGGAGATTGTAGTCATCTCACTGGTTTGTTCTGCGCTGGTTTCTGAAATAAATATATAAGAAGAAATTGAGGGATTTTTATATTTTTGTCGATTTTGCCTCTTGCCTTTTCGTTCGTTGTTTTCTCTTATGGCGTCTTTCGACTTTTATATCTGTTATTACCTTGTAGCTTATTTTTGGGTTTATTTTTTTATTTATTGTTACATGGCACACTATTTGTGATATTATTCCGAATTTTTTTGACAGTATTTTCCCTTCGGTTTCATGTTTTCTTTTTATTTCTTAATCATTCTTTACTATTTGATTATTTGCCATTCGGTGGATCCTCTTTATGAGATTGTTTGATAGCGCTGTGGTTTTTTCGATAATTGTTTCTCGCTTTTTCACCTGACATACTGAACATGTGAATATACCGTGGCAGTGTTTCAATTATTTTACTGTCTTTCATTGATGTGAACACGAAATTAAGTTTCACTATGCTAATCACTATCTTGCATGCGTTAGGTTGAATTGATTGTGTTCACCTACTGGTAACGTTTTATCCGATACTCCCATGTCACATTACTATTTGATTTGTCAATCTGTTTTTACGATTTAGCTGTTTCTCGAGAAGTCTGGTCAAATGTAGTATCAGTCTGCATAATGATAACTTATTTTATTTCATAAAGCCTTATTTTGGATAATAAAATAAATAGACTAAAATATTCCGGTAGTTTAGTAAAAGTACTCACCAGGATCGTTTGTCGTAGATATGAATTCTTCTGTTGTAGAAAGCCTTTCTTCAGTTTCACTGGTTTCAAATGCTGTGGAGCTGTCTAATTCAGAAGAAGTCATGAATGTCGTATCAGTTGTTATGTCTACATTTTCTGCACCTGGTATAACTTGTGGAATAACAAGCTCGAAATTAAGTAGGAGCAGAAGAAGTATTGATATTTTTATCATTCTATGATTGCACTCTCCTAAAAAACAAAAATCATATTATTCGAACTGTGAATAAAGGAATGACCGATGGAATATATGTGCCATATATGTTTGAATGCTCTATCGTATGTGTGTTGACAGATGTACACCGAATAATCCCTTGTGGATATACCTCATTTTTGTGAATTGTGAAATAGTCATTCAACAACTAACCTGGTAATATCTTTCCCAGTCATAATTGTATATCAAACATAATAAAGTGAGTTTGTAAGGAAGTTACTGAGATCGATTCAGTGATCAAACCACTGATAAACTAAAATGTTCCAAGTGTTGATAAAAGCTAACAGACAAGAAATAGAAGTCTGATGTTTCTCTCCCGTGCTTCCAGTCTTCAAATATCCGTCATAAATAAGCATTGTGGTTAATTTTTCTTACTGGCTTTAGTTACTTAATTTAGTAATAACATGCTTAGCATTTATTTATGAAACAAGTGAACTTGATTATTGAATTGAATTTTTGATTTTCCCGTCGATTGATTGGACCGAAGTGCTCGGTCTCAGTTCAATTCAATAATTAATATGACCCGTCGCACAAGAGGTGGCTCTCGTGGCCCAAGTGGTCTAGTGGATAACGCTTTGGCGTTTGAAACTATGGGTACTGGGTTCGAGCCTCGGTGGGAACATCATCACTCACTGAGAAATGCAGGTACATCCAGCTGACGAGTCCCAAATAGGACGAAATGCGCATCCTGGATTCCACTGCTAGCCACCATCCACCAATTGTATACTAAGTGAACTTGATGTTCAAAGAGTATTAATGATATGACTTATGATCAGTTTTAGAGATCTATGCGGTATTTTCTTACTAATTTTGACACCTTAAGGTTTTATTCCTCCTTCGTCCATCATAATTATGATGACTCATAAAACTAGGTAACTTCTATTTCTTACCATCTTGCCTCTACGGCGTCACCTTCAACTTGGCATATTGCGGTGAATGCCCTGCTTTAATTCAGTCTGTCCGTTTGCCTCACAGCAATATCTCCGGTATCCACAATAATAACTCTCAAAGTGCACAAGCAGCTACTGAAACACTTCCTCCCTAAAGTACACTAGTTTGTCTCATAATCCAGAATACTGGATATTAGGGTTTAATATAGTATCGTGGTAACCTGTTCACCGGACATGTTGTACAGAAAGACACAAGTACTTAATAGGTAATTACACCACAAATCTAATATTTCTGTTTGCTCACGTCTAAGCGAATATGAATCTTTTTATTTCGTCTTTATCAACGATTTCACAAACAGAACTAGCCTAACTTACAAGCCAATTCCATTCGGCTCAAAGATTATATAATAAAGTGTACCAATACATTTCCATGTGAACACATCAGTAAATACCCGATACGACTGACATCCAGTGTCTTATTGCTGGATTCAGACTTTTCTCATCTTGCGTAGATTGTGTCAGGGTGAAGTGTATTACTCCTTCCAGCCTTACTGCGAGCAAACTATTATCACAGAAATCGCTTTCATGACTCTTTCATAATTTTAACCAATGTGCTTGTTTACATTCTTGCTTTTGCTATTGTTGACCGACATGCTTCACCGACTATCGATTTGTTCCATTAATTCCATTTCAGAAGAATAAAATAAGCACTTTAAACAGATAAAAGTATTCTTTGGTTGCGACTAATTAACTAACAGATTATACTGATGAAAATATAAGAAAAGATTTTGTATTTTTATTGCGTATAGTAACATTTCGTTTGCTTAAAATATGCAGGAAAGATTCTTATTCTCACACTGACTAATTATTGTTATGCGGATAGTTGAATTCCTCTGAACTTAATTTGTTTGAGCAGCTAAGGATCATGATCAGTGAAGCATGTATTTCGTGAGTAACATGAGTCTGAGGCCTACTTGTCAGTAACAGTGCTGTGATGCATTCAGTCACCTGTTATCATGTATCATCTTGACATTCAGTAGAAAATTTGCAAGGTTGCTTTCTATTAATTCAAACAACTCGTCATATGAATGTAGTCATACTAATTGATGAAGTGCCTTAAACAATAACTCTTCGGAGGAATACGAACTGAAACAAGGTCGATAACACAGTCAGGTAAACAAAGAGACCAAGAGAACAGTGAATTCATTTAATATAATACACATAACTAAAGTTTGCTACCTATAATATCTTCACAGTTATATCTGGCCATATCTAAGTTTTCTTAAAATTAATATGACAGGAAATTCTTTCTCTTTTAGATGATGGATTTACCGCTTTCACCATTCGTAGAATAAACAATCAACTTTAATGTAGTTCTATTGCCTTTTATAAACTTTTGAATGTTTTTTTAAATATTGGCAGGTTAAATTATCCCATGATAACGAGGCAATTAATCACATTAGTAATTCTTTTCTTAACTGCATAATTCATGCAAACACACCCACACATTTGCCTATCACTGAAATCGACGTTACTTATTTGTCGGTGAATTACATTGCTTATTTCCTCCTACTTGAAACCTGTCACCTAAATATACCTGAATACCATTGAGTCATGGTTTTTCCGACCGAGACTCAAACTTAGCACCGATTGTTTGAAATGATGGTTGATGAGTTCCGAACTGCACGAAATGCCTGTCCTACATTCATCGTGAAAGCCACTACCAAAGAATCAACTGGGAATCAAAATAATGGTCCCGAAATATCAGTGCTCAATTATAAGTAGAAATAGAGAATGTAAGTAAAACGGCTTGGGAAATTAGTCAGGATAAGCACTAGAAAGCTTTGATTATTTTCTGTTTTTGCAGTAGGAAGAACAGTGTTCATGAAATTCATTTTCACAATTTGGATCGTTTCATGTCTGAAGTTTTACTAAGCCTCTTGGAAATACTTCATACATCGTAGTGTAGTGTTATTTTCTTGTTTCCTTGTGGAATCAGCTCAACGACTAGTTTTTTATGTATATATTTAAGCCACTCATTCGCTAACAAATTAGAATACCGTTATTAAAATGCAGAATTTATCCAGAAAATGTGATACATTTGGGAAATACATTTCTTAATATTTGTTCACGCATTCACTCATCAACGTTATTCATATGAAGAATGTCAAAAATCAAGTAGATAATCTACTAAACAAAGACAATAAAGGATTTATGAATAAGGAGAATAATGATTGATACTACTCTCGGTAACGTAAACAGATAAGGATTTTCAACGTAGGTAAAGTGTTAAGACTATTAATGTTAGTGTAGAACTTGGGCACTGTGGTAGAATGTAATTCCGTATTAGATAAGTTCATTTCTAAATATCACACAGCGATGCAGTACTAACAACTGGATGACGCTTCGAGCACAATTTATTGCCCGTTATCTTATCAAGGATGTTAAGTGTTAGGATGAATTATTTTTTTACACACGCAGGGATTAGTTGTATAGACGGCTATCACCACAACATATTTCAGTATGTGCCCCCGTGAGATTCTTTGTATAATCTTAAAATCTTCCTATTTATTTTAATGTGTTTTGTTATAAACAATGTTGGTAGTCCGCCACCTGAGTTTATGCAGGTTGTTTAGCTCAATCATCTTCTACACTAAGTGCTTATATTTCCCCCCTTCTACATATGTAACGTGTGACTGCTGCCACCAATGTGTCCACTAGCACGTGTAAATTAATATGCAATATGAGATGTGATATAATCACCTATGCGATTTTGACGTGTGAGGTAGGCCGAGATTTTGCTGTTATTTTCATTTGTAACCTGCATAGTCGACAGAACTTTGTCTGTCTTGAAGAAGAGATAATCAAAGAGGTCGAATTCTGATTTTAAAAAAAAACATATTTCACCGCTGTAGAAAAAGTATACCAACAGAACGAAGGAATAACCACGAGATCTCTTATCTCACCGATTATAGTTGGCATATTCACGGATATTTTGAGAAAAAGTACACTTAAATCATTCATGCCATCTCAATAAAATGTTGGTTGAGCCAGTAATAATGAAGAATAATGATATTGAGAAATTTTTCTCAGACATAAACACTCATACAGACTCAATAAAATTCGCTATGGAAATGGAGAATGAGTTTGGGGATCTACTTATGCTAGACTATAATATATGAAGAATAACAAATGGTGGAATAAAAACAACAACACGTGCAAAACTACGCATTCTGGGAGATTCCTTGATTTTTGTCGCCCCAGATAGGCTGAATGTTTCACTTTTATAACCGTACTACAAACAGAGTCACATCTGAAGTAGTCAACGTTTATAATTTACTAGCGAGAGAACAGCTCCACGCAGTTAGAACGTTAACGAACTCCCTGCTTGTAAAGATTTACCCTCAGATTACTGTATCTACTTATGAATGATATTGAAACTTCAATCTAAACACTCAGTAATTATGTAAACTGAAGACTCTTCATTGATTTTCAATTTCATTAGGGTGAAGACGTTCATTTATGAGTGTTTCTTATCCCTCACAGATAGTCTTTTTTGACAAAGAGATCTTAACAGCTAAACATTAGTAGTTAACATGAGCTGTCGTACAATAAACTGTGGAGGTACTCATGCACTTTTAATTCACAAAGACGTACACTTAAGAACTTTGCGTTAATGAGAGGCTGTTGATTTCAGGATACTGAGTGACTTATAAAATAGAAAGAGATAGAAATGGAATAGGTCATTTAGTTAATTATGAGTGTAAGTCGAAAGAATAATTACTTGAAAGTCAGTGAAATGCGCATGCCTATCTCCGAGCGCCTTCATGAATGTCAGTCAGTCTATTCCCTAAGAACCATGTTATCAATTGGTTTTATGAGGAAGATGTCAGCTGCTTAACCTGTGGCTAAAATGAACTATCAGATATTTTATTAACGCATGGCGAATCTTGTTTTTTACTGATGGAATAATGTGTTCACTAAGATAGAAGTTCTTACACCGCATGTACCAAGTTACTGAGATTATCATTCACGCCTAACATATTATTTCTGGTCACTCTACCATACAACAGTAAGACAATAAATACTAGGCATAAAGCTTGATTTCCATACAACCATTCCAACAGAAACACTGCTACACTGACAATCTAAGTGTATTTATCACACTGTGATAAAGCCTTAATATGTGATATTAGATGTTTAGTATCTACTGAGTTGGATTACGAGACTGTGGAATCTCCAAAACGCAAGAGTATATCACTTTGTCTTTATTTGTTTCTCGTTTACTTTATTCACTGCTAAAATGCTATGAATGATTTCATGAAATTCAGCTACTGTGAATACAACACGCCAAAAGACGTTTAATATAGGGACTGTAATAAATGGTCAATGTTATACCTTCTATACTGAACTAAAATAAACAACTTATTTGGGCAGAAAGAATAATATTATTATTAACAAATTTTCGGGGGAAGTTTCTTCATCAGACAGGAAGACTGTCCTAAATCTAAACAAGTTTTACAAATAAAATTAATGAATTCACTGAATGAGAGAGAGATAGAGAGGTAAAATATCTCTTGAGATTTGCATAGATGTGTACTTCATTAAGAACAAATTATCAATGATAATAACAACAACAAAAATAATAACTTTTGTAAAGATAAAATGTGAACACCAAAACTATGCATCAATCCAAAGAATATTTTTATGATACTTACTCAAAATATTGGTTAGAAACAAGCAGATAGCTTCTTAATCATTACTGGCTTGTGTATATATATACACATTCCAGTTGCTGACAAACCGATAGATTGTTTCTTATATTCATTAATCTGTGAACAATGGTATTGGACACGTTTTTCAGGGTTTTACTTCAGGGTCAGTGCCAACGGTAAACAAAACACTTGCACCATTGTCTTTCAGTCACACAAATGAAACTTGTTAAAACATTCTTGTCTTCACCGCATACCTGTTGCCAATACAAACTCTTCTTTAATTACTTACTCCTGGTTAATTTTCGTCTTTTGATGAAGACATTTAGCAAGTTTTGTTACAGTCTACGCACGTGGTTTGGGGATGGATCCTCGGTCGATGCACTACTCATTCTGGCTAAGCTTGTAGTAAGGCCGTTTAAAACGGAAGGTAGAGCGTGAGGCTAGCAACCCCAACCCTTAAAAATATTTTGGAAAACCCACTGCCAGTGAAGCTTCAAAGCTCTGGCTTGAATTCCTAATAGTATAAATAACTGATAGAGAGAAACACAGATCTTCATACTGCACGCTGGCAACCACGTGAAAAGTAATGATTACCACTGCTGGCATGTGCGTAGGGTATCTCTCTATTCACTCACTGCTTGTCATTTCAGACATTGAATTTCAACTCGGTGGCTAAATGGTCAACGTGCTGACCTGTTAATGTGGTAGTTTGGGTCCGATCCCTGATGGGATCATAGATAAGCATGGTTAGCGAGTCCCAAACTAGGATGAAACAGCTATCCACTTCCTCTTGTTTCTCACTGATTCTCTCAGTTCGTGACAAAATTCATATTCAAGTTAATCAGAATATCTACGAACCCTGTTGTGTGCGTACTGATGAAGACTCGCAAACCTCTTTTGTGAATTACTTATTTCAAATCCCCACCTAATCAACTGAATACCAGATGAAGTTATTTTCCGTTGAGATGCTTAATAAGATGGACGGATATCAATTTATGATGATACATAGAGGATAGTATTAGATCTTTTAAATGAATACAAATTTTCTCAGCATCACTTAAGTATTTCAAAGAAACAATTCACAGAAAATTCCACGTATTTTTGAAAATTTAGAGGAGTGTAACAAGAATTTCTGAGAACAATCTTCCGTCACGCAATTCATCCGCAGAGGTGACACTTGGCAAATTAATCAATTCATTGTAGTAATGCGGATCACAGGTTACAAGGGTTAACACCTAAGTGATGCCATTGATTTTGGTGAACAAAGGCAAAAACAACTTTAGGAAGAAAATAAATGTTCACCTACTTCAAACGGATTTGGAAACTTTGAGATGACTCAAATTGAAAAACCTCGCTTCAATACTTCACCTGAAAGCTTTATCTGCTGACATGACCTTTATTTGGATGAGTCTGAGCCTAGTTTTTATGATAATAATTAGCACACAACTATTGAGGTGTGGAACTAGGTTACCTGGCCCACGTCTTCCATGTACTAGCCTATGAACCCCACTTATTGCCCGACGATTGATGAAAGCACCTACTATGACAGACTGAAGAACATGGAGAGGGTCAAGTTTCCGTGACCCAATCCATGAAAGTAGATATTATGATTAGTGATATAAGTATAAAACTTGGACATTGTGGTAGAGTACATCTCCACTATGGATAGGGACAGAGTGAAAATTCTACGAAGTAATATAGGTAGGTGAAGAGCGGGAGAGATTGAACACTGAATCCTAGTTCATTGTGTCTACACCCAACACAACACATGCAATAGAAATGACTCGAAGCAAATACCACACATAAAGGAGACATTATTACCAGTCAAATCAGAGGATAACAAATGACGTTAAGATGTATTCAATTCACATTATAACATTCTAACAAGTTACTTATTTTCACTGTAAAAAAATCTTATTTCCCATCTGACGGTATTTTATAGATAACACTAATATTATTTCTGAGTGTACTTTATCTTATATTGATTTTATTCACTCATCTAATCATCAATTTTACTCATGTATAAAAATGAAGCAAAAAGTTGTGTTAGTGACCTGATATGATTATGAGCAGCAATAATTTGTGCTCGAAACGTCATCAGTTAATATTACTGTACAACACTGTGTGATTTATCAAATTAAAATCTTATCCATAATGGAGAAATATTAGGATTCTTTCATAACTATGGCGGCGGCCTGCTTAAATCTTGGGCTACCGAAATTTCCATCCTACATATTGCATCTATTTCGTCGTATTCATTTTGTTTTAATTAGTCAATTATGTGTCCAATTAGCATTACTTACTCTCGCGATTATTTAAAATGTTTCAATCTGATGATTTGCGAGTATATAACAACCGTAAGAAAAAGCCTCATGGTGGGTGGCCAAGATCCTTAAAGTGTACTCCAATGCATCAGATGACTGTTCCTGTGATTATGAGCACAAATTGCAGATCTCTACCGAACAAGATTGATTACTTGCACTCTCTATTATACTCAAATGTAAAAGAGCTCCGCTCTTCAATTCTGACCATTGTATTGTACGAGTCTTACCCAAAATTTACGGAAAGTTACACAGCAAAGCCTTCTCAAACTTGTCTAAAAAGGTTGTTCACAGATGCTACTCAAATGAGAACGTACATCATCTTAGAAACATGCTCAGTGACACAAGATGGGATCTGTTTAATCATGATTCACTTGATGACAATATCTCTAATATTACATCCTATCTGAAATTCTGTTTTGAAATCTGCTGTCCAAAAGAAACACTATTCGTCAAATTTGACCGTTTCTCCTCGCCTCAACTTTAAAAGCTTCGTAGAGAGAAGGAAAAACTACATAAAGTGAAAAATAAAAGTGGTGTAAGAAGAAATAACTTCTTAATTAAGTCTGAAATGCAGAGGTTGAATGTAATATATAACCAGAAATTCATATCCTGCAAAAATGCTTCTAATATTTGGAAACTATTTAAGGAAATCATTGGTGGTAAGCAGATAAACAGTATTCCATATTCTTTTGATGTATGTTCTCTTAATATACTTTTTAATTACTCTCCCTCAAATAGCATGCTTCCCAGCATCACTAGTGTTAATAATAGCCCACTTCCAGGTTTCAACGCAAATGATGTTCAAAAGTGCCTCAAGTCTCTAAACCCTTCTCAGGGTTTAGGTCCAGATTATATACCTAGTATTATTTCTTTTTAATGTTCTGGTATTCTGTGTCACCCTCTCACGGATCTGTTTAACAAATCTTTTTCCAGTATTATTGTGCCTGCCGTTTGGAAAGACATTAAATTTGTACCCATACCTAAATTATCTACTGGAGCATGTGTGAAATTTAGACCCATTGCTATTACCTCTCCTTTTTTGAAAACTATGGAGAAATTACTTTTACTTAGTCTTCTACCTTCGCTAAAATCCTCAATGACCCTAAACAATTTGCCTATAAGCACAGTAGAGGCACTTTAGATGCAGCTGCCGTCTTATATCATAACATTGCTTCCAGTCTAGACAAGGTGGCTAAATTTGTTCGTTGCGCCTTCCTAGACTATACATTTGCTTTTGACTCAGTCCCTAGGGACATCTTATTAAATAAACTTGCAGCTAGTCAAACAGAATGTTGGACTGTTAACTGGTTACATTCCTATTTCTCAGAAAGAAAGCAGTACACCGTATATAAAGGGAAGTCTTCCACTTCATTGCCTACTGAAGCTTGTGTTCCTCAAGACGCTGTACTTTCTCCTTTTCTCTTTTCTTTATTTAATGGCTGTTAACTCCCAGCTAGATTGTACCAAAATAAGTAGATTTCTGTCGGGAGTCAGTAAATGGTCTGAATCTAACGGTCTTAAACTGAATCTTTCTAAATGTCAAACTTTTAATTTCAGCTTAAAATGTAAAAGGCAGTTAAATGAATTCATCGATTCTCATGACAGTTGTAAGATTGATGAAAATAGTATAGGAATTAAATCAGAATCTAAGTATCTTGGATATATTCTTTCTTCTGATCTCTCCTGGTCTTCCCATGTCTTAGCGATATCCAGGAAAATATCCTGCCTGACATTTTACAATAATAAGTTAAGGCACTCGGACATAACTCAACCCCTCCTCCCTCTTACAGTTCGTAAACTCTTGCATTCTACCTATTCTTCTTTATTGTTCACCCTTATTCTTTCCTGGTTTGCCTAAAAAGGACTACGTCACAATTCGTAGAATGCTGAAGACGGTCAGTAGGGTGAGTGGTGTCCCAGTGGACCACATAGTTAATGTTGTTATCGATAGGCACTTGACTTTGTGCAATAAATTTGCTAGAGGGATTTTTTCTGACTCGGACCATCCACTTTACCCTCCTCAGGTAGAACAGGAAGTAACTTCAGAAAACTGTATACTCGCACGTCTAAGTATAGAAATTCTATGATAACATACTTGGCACATATTTTATGTGATGAAAATAGTGTCAGCCAACAATTAACTAACCTTTTTCATCTAGTAAATAAACAATTTCCTTCATCCATCCTTATATACTTTCAAGTTTTACTTTTATTATTTCTATTATATTTATGGTCCTGTTGCTTTTTTGTTTTACTCTCATAATTGCAAGCACCAACTTGTCTCTATGACTGCTGTAATCTTTGTTTTTCTCCTCACCATTTCATGTAAAGAGAACATTATATTGCATATTTATAAACATCCTAGGTTTTCTATACCGCGTTGACAATACTGTGCGTAACAAGCCCACGGCAATTTTCAATTGTATTATTATTATTATTACCTTAGCTGTTATCGTTATTATTATTTCCATTTTATATGCTGCATCTTTCTGACATTACCTCTATTGTTATTGTGGAAGATTTTCTGTGTGATTAATCTTAATTATAATTTGAGGAAATTAGATGCAATATTGTGATTAATGCTGAAAATTCCATTCTGTACCACAAGTACTGTTTCGGAATGAAGTAAATCATTATTATTATTAATCGTCAAACTAGCTGAATGACAGGCAGTATCATAACAACCAAAGTCTCTTTCTAGCAAATTATAAATTAAGAGAATTTCCACTTTTAGTCAAATAATCTGGGATGGCAATCTTGAGTAGTTTGATCATTAAGAAAATCAAAGTTCCTCTGGTGTATATTCGAAAATATTATCAAATTATAAAATGTTGGTTTGTAGAGGCCTAATTGATTTTAAGTCAGATTTCATCCCAAACAGCGACCAGTTACACAGACACAGATCAACAGTCGACTTCTGGAAAAATCTTTCGTCCTAGTCTACGAATCTTCGGTGTTACTCAGTTGGAGATTGTCTGCAGGAGCTTCAGGTTACCTAGTATGCACGTTGCTATTCAACCAAAAAATCAGATGACCCATGAATTCTATCTTCTACTGACTCGTCCTGACACAATTTATTAGTAGACTCCTCAGCCATTATAAGACGTCGATTTTTAACCAGCTTTCATTGAATATTGAGGCGGATTTCAGCACACACTTCCCCGTATGTAAAACTTTGTCTGATAATTAGAATTCTTATTGAATTGGAAACTGTACTATGAAATTAACTCTAAAAGTGTTGTCTAGAATGATAATGACAGTTTCTCAGTTATGTCATTTAGCTGGCAGAATATGAAAGCAATGCAGATATTCATCAACCCCATATTTTCA